GAATTCTAACTGACTCCTTTAAATGTAAATAGTACATTTGGCCTGAATGTGTTTGCATGCTCCCCTCCCTCGCAGTTAAAACCCACTGCATGATCACCTGACCAGACATCCCCCTTTTTATTATGCTTCTGTTCCATCTCACACACTGTGCTGCTTGTTTTGTGTGTGGAAGAGAGAACAACAGTGAAATGTCAGGGACAGATGTCTAATAATGCTGTGTTTTCTTTTTCTGGGAAAGTAACATATCAAATAATCAGTTTTGTCTCTGGCCTGCAGAGCTACCGGCAACCTGCGGCATTCATCGTTACCCAGCATCCTTTGCCCAGTACAGTTAAAGACTTTTGGCGACTTGTTTATGACTATGGCTGTACCAGTCTGGTGATGCTGAATGAGATCGACTTGGCTCAGGTAAAGCGCTTTTGATTATAATAAATGCCCCACAAACTACACAAAGTACACATGTTCAACCACACTACCAACATAAGAAAAATACAGAAGAAATCCCTGATGTCAAGAAAGTATTTAGCAGGTGAAGGGAAATTGTGTTCATAAGTTCTTATGTCCTCAAACAATTTCTTAATTAAACATTTTTTTCACACCTATGTTCCTACATAGGGTTGTCCTCAGTACTGGCCAGAAGAGGGCATGCTGCGTTATGGTCCAGTCCAGGTTGAATGTATGTCTTGCTCGATGGAGTGTGATGTCATTAGCAGACTCTTCAGGGTCTGTAACCTCACCAGGGTTAGTACAGTGATTTGATTCATGTTAACTTGGCTCAATATTTTTTGCCAAATTCCCCAGCAAATATCTGCTCATGTGTGACAGTCTTTTTTTTTTTTTAAATATTCCAGCCACAGGAAGGCTACCTAATGGTTCGTCAGTTCCAGTACCTCGGTTGGGCCGGACACAGAGACGTTCCTGCATCCAAACGCTCCTTCCTGAAACTGATACTTCAGGTCGACCAGTGGCAGCGGGAGGGAGAGGAGGGAGAAGGAAGAACCATTGTGCATTGTCTGTAAGTTAACAGCACATCAACTCTTCACATTTAGTTTTAAAAGGACAGGTTCAAGCTTACAGTAGTCAGATGTAACAATTCTTCAGTGGACAGGTCTTCTTTTTTATAGCAAGTAATAATTTGTGTCAGAAACCATAATAAGTTCCCTATGAAAGGATCCAAAACAACACCTGAAACATTTTGTGCAGTTTTTGAGGTCAAAATGTAATATTTTCTGCATTTTGTAGAAATGGCGGTGGGCGTAGCGGAGTATTCTGTGCCAGTAGCATTGTGTGTGAGATGGCAAAGAGACAGAACGTGGTTGATGTATTCCACGCTGTGAAGACTCTGAGAAACAGCAAACCCAACATGGTGGATACTCCTGTAAGTTGCCCTTAAATTAGAATCACACATACACATGCACACCAATAATACGTGATTAACCTACCTATAACCATCTGAGTTAAATGTAGCCTTAATGCATTACTTTGTTAATGTTTGCTTGTTCAAATATTTTTATTAAACCAAAGGAGCTTTGGGTGATTTAAATGGTTTTCTACCTGTTTATGTAATAATTCAGACCCTAAGCTGAGGTACATCCATCAGTTTGTGTAACTTGATCACTTCTGTTTTACTTATGAATTGCTACAACTTGGGGGTAGATTCCTTTTCCCAGCCTGCTGTGTATGGTCTTTGATGATGCTACCGCTGGTTTTTATTTTACTGAGTTTTTATTAACTCGTTTTCCCATGCACTATAAGTTTATTGAATATTTGTTTCCATTTTTCCACAGGAACAGTATCGATTCTGCTATGATCTGGCTCTCGAGTTCATTGAATCGTCTTAAGAAGAGCAGCGAAGTTCACAGGAAAGTGAAGATCTTCTGTTCTGTTCTTGTATTTGATCTTTTGCCTTTGCTTGGTCCTGATTTCCCTCTGTCGTGTTCTGTAGCATCAATTTATTTTTTTGGCTCGACAAATGGTGCAATCAAAGTCCGCTCTGTACAGTGTTGTGTGGCAAAAGGAAATCTTCAGACTTTTAAATAAGAGAGAGATGACGAGGACTGCAGCAGAAGATGTTAATGCTTTTGAATCTTTATGCTTATGGTACAGCGTTTGAGTGCCAGTGGGGTTCTGTATGATTTTGAGCCCCAATTTAAATGTCAAGCCTCTCGACCACAAACCCTTTCCCCATGAACTCGATGCATTGTGTTGTTACAGCTGCAGTATTCAGTGTGAACTGTAGATGTCTCCCTTCCTTTGCGAAGCTGTAACCACTTTTTTTTTTTTTTTGTTAAAGTGGTGCCATGTTCCCATTTTCACGCTGATTTCCGAGTATTTCATCAGTGTTGAGTAATTCATCATGGTGATGTCTGAATATTTGCGGTCTGTAATTTTGTACCAGAACAAAAAAACCTAATGTTACAGCCCAGCCAAACTCTGTGGATGTTTTTGTTTCTTTCTAGGGCACTGTCATGTTATTGTCAGGTCACAGTGAATTCTGAGGTTTAGCACCATGATCTTTCACCAATTTTGTTCCTATTTTAAATTAGTGACACAAAACTGTTGGATAACAGAATATAGATGAAGACAATTACCTTTGTATTAATACGAGTTTACAAGTTTTATTTTTTTCCATTTTGCTTCTTGTTGTATCATGTACTAATCTACTGAATATAAATGCTGAAGTACTTTTTCTACCCCAAATTGTAAAATAGATCACTTTTCATCACAGTTATGTTTGTTTTAGGGCTGGGCCCAATGCATTTTTAATTAATCCATTTTACAAACAGAGCTTCACTAAAAAAAAAAAAAAAAAAAACAACAACAACAACACACATTTAGGCAGAATTTAATAATAAAAGAAATTAATTTCCTCTATTTTGGAAAACACACAGATTTATATTTTTGCTTTCGGTTTGGGCCTGGAATAAATTGGAAGTGAACTGACCCCAGGCTTCATTTGCTCTGTGCACTGGTGGCCAACACTTTATGTTTGAATATTATTATTTTGTAGCTGATGTTTATTCATAAGCCAAAGACTTTGTGTAAATATGTCTATACGGATGAAGCACATTGTTTGTATTTATTGTTTGTTTATTGCATTGCTTGTAAGAACAATCATTTTTCATTCCATGTTCACTCCACCAACAGCGCTTCTTAAACTGCTTATGGAGATGATCAAACTCGTCGTCTTCATATGGAATCATGGGAGTATTTGTTGAGCCTATTGTGGATCATCATGTCAGATATCACATCTGATTATTTGAAGTCCATGAAAAAGAGTTTAAGAATCCCTGATGAAAGCTGTGTATTAAAGCTTTAGGAGTAGTATTCAGTATTTAGGTGAAATCCAGTAATATCGTTTTTGTTTTCTTTTTAAGGTTTTACTGTAAAGTTACTTTTTTGATTTTCTTTTGTGTAAAAGCCCACTTTTCTGTTTGTGGTCAGTAGAACATCGGTGCATTTGAGTGCTATCGGATGATGACCTGCATCTTGTACTTCTTAGTCTAGATGAGCTGTTTGTCTTCATCCTTATGTCCTGATTAGCATTATGGCTGAACATACAGTCAGTGATGTCAACAGGCTTAGTTGAGGACACATGGAGAGCTGTAATACATGTACATTTATTGTGCCTAATCATTTGCATTTCCAAACTGAAACAAGCATTTTTGACCTTGACCTCTAGCAGGTCTTTGTTCAATGCGTTCTCATGGACGATCAGTGTTTTCAGTTCCTTGAACCTGCATTTATTGTTTAATCCGTGAAAGTGCTTCGTTTGAGGCTTTAAGAGCTTAACAGATGGAACTTTATTGTAAATAAAAGATCAGATGTTACACCCTGTTTCTGAAAGTAACAATGGTTCAATTTAAGAACATTTGTTCTATTGCAGATGAGAGAAAATGTAAGAATAAACATTTGTGATCAAAAAAATGCTATGGTTTTCACAGAAGAAGTGAACATTAGCCTTCAGTTTTCTTTTTCTACAGATTTCTGATCTGACCCAACAAAGTTGCAGAAAATCTAAAAATGCATATCCATACTTTTAAAAAATATATATTATTGGTGTTTTTGGAAAGTATGTACAATACAAAAACCCTTAATTATTCAACTTTGGGGACACTGAGTAATAAAAAAAAGGAACAGGATTTTTTTCTTAGGAAGTTGTTTCCCCAAAGAAGAGAGAAAAAAGCTGGTGTCTGGGTGAGAGGCCAGTCTAAAGATGACATCAATATTCATGGTTCATAATTATTCTTGTCTGTAATGTTTGGCTTCTTTGCTGTAATAAAAGACAGTTCTTTAACTAAAACCTTTGGGTTCATGGCTTCTCAGTATCATCTTCTGATTATCAAAAGTCATAATCTACAGAAGACCTTTGCAGCAGGTAGGTTTTGAGATTCATTAGTTATATCTAACACAAGATAATTACAGGTTTACTCTGAGTTGCTGCTGTTATAAGATATGAAACTACATTTTTTTATATAGTTATTGAGACCTGTCTCTTTGCTTAAAATGACAGGAAAGAAGTGCAACAGCAACGGAAGTAGACAAGAGGTCCTGTGTGACTGGAGGCGTCTGTCAACTCGACAAGCTTTAGTCATTTCCTCAACAATTCTGTTATCTAAGAAAAAGTGGCAAGAGAAAAAGAAATCCGTAAAAAGTCTTGCTTACAGACGCATGGGTGACAGAAAATGTATGAGATGCTCTGGACAGAGCTTTTTCTCTTATGTTGGAAAAACTGTAGCATTAAAAATGTTGAAAAACCATCTAACACTAGTTGGTAGAGTTTAGCAATTGTGTGCTTTGTAATGCTAAAAAAAATCAAGTAGCTTGAATAATTTTCACAAGAATTATATGTTACGTATGATAAATATTCTCAGAAGAAACAAACATCCACTTCTGTAGCGAAATGCCCATATGACATCTTGGGGAACAGCAGCGTCACTGACAAACTTCTGTTTTGCTACCTGCTATAAAAAAGTGACAGTATTGTTTTCTTCAAAAAGTTTAATTTGCATAATTATTTACAACAGATGGTTGGTAGTACTTAGGAAGCAAAATATAGTAAGTCACATTCATAAAGCAAAAAAAAAAAAAATCATAAAAACTGTTGGAACAATTTCAAAACCTTGCATTTGGAAAAAAAATGTACATTTAATTTTTAGATGAACAAATCTAGAAATGAAATAGTCATCCTAAAGTAATCTTGCAAACACAAACTGATCCGTAGACTGCTGTAATACTGACCAGCAATGAATCACTAATTAATACAATCATTTACTATCCTGCATGCTATTATAAAATGTTGACAAAGAAACATTAAACAACTAAAACAGGGTCAAGAGCAGAAAATAGTTTCAAAGAAATTAGGCCTAAATTATATATTTATATATGTATATTTCTGTACAAATACTTATTTGGCATAATGTTTGTCCTCATTATTGATATATTAAACAATTTTAAAATAGAATTAAGGTAACCACAAACCTGTATATACTATCTGATGGTTTTGATGTCATTTTAGTTTTTTTTTTGTTTGTTTTTTTTTCTACCCATAACCCACAGCACATTTCTCCACCAAAGGCAAACAAAACTGTCTGGTCTATCTCTTCATAAAACACTGAAAAATATGTTTTCCTTAGCAGTTTCATACTTATACACAAAATATATCCAAATTACATTATGTGCAATTCTGGCAGAACTGTTATAATATGACTAGTATTCGTGCCCCTCAGAGTCAGTGCTGGATTTGTACATTTAGGCAGGCCCATTACGCAGATGGACACTGAAGCTGCAACAAAAACCCCCAAATATAATAAAATAAAGTATACAAAACAAACTTGTGGATATTAATCCTAATGCTGCCTGGTGAAAAGAATAGTTTGTCGATTCAGTGTTGATCTCTGACACCACTATGTCTTGTGCGGGAAATATTAAAGTAGCACCTCTCCTAGCTTAGCATAAGGACTTGGAGCTGGCTAAATTGCTAGCCCTTTCAAAAGCTAACCTACTTGTAGAGCTTTGGTCAAAAGTTGACATGCAGTCATCGTGATGATGATGTGTTTGAGTCGTTCCTTTCTCCACCATAGAACAAAATATTATGTAATGTTAAACAAGAACTGGGTGCACAGGTTTGAATTTATTGTATATTTGTTTATATTCTTCACAGTCAGAATTATACATACAGTTTTAAATATATACATGCACTGGTACCAATATTTGACAAAGGAACTTTTAACATGTTGCATCTTGACCACAGCCATTTTCATGTACCCATAAACAACATGAGAAAATGTTTAAGTATTTTTCTGGATTCGTTATCCTGCCGTGGACCTGCCGGTTAAACATGGTCCACAATTTCACAGCATGGTTTAGGTCATAGCTTTGAGACCGTTTCAGGGACCTAATTTAATCTGCTCCATTTATTCCCCAACTAATTTCACGTGTGTTTTGGATCTCTGTCCTGCCAGAACACCAATGCGTGTCCAAATTTCAATCATATGACCTGATTTGCAATGTTCAGCTGCAAAGTGTTTGGTAAGTGATTGGGATGATCGATGCCTACAAAACACATTTTGGTTTCTCTGCAACTTACTATGGAAAATCTACCCAAATAGCATCTGTGCGTTGTGTTGTGTGCACATGAGGGCTTAAGTATGTATAATTCTTTCTGGATTAAATTAAATATCCAATTCAAACTCAGGCACCCATCGATTGTGTTTAAAAGGCATTGATGTATGTAATACCATCAATACACCATCAAAAAGAAAAATAGCTCAAATAAATCACTAAAAGCTAAAACATAATATGACATTCATCCCGATGATGAGTTTAGGCGACCATTTGACTGATACTCTTTTACCACCTAGTTGAATACCAAGTATTGGTTTTATATGTTTGTATTTATGTGGTAGGCTAGCAATTGAAAAAATAAAAACATCTTTTAAACAAATCAATAGCTTTTCTAAATTCACAGGCGATGTGTTTCACAGAAGTCTTTTCTGATCAGATAAAATGAAATAGGCATACAACCTATTGTGACAAACTATTCTTTAACCAGCTAAGGAATCATCAAATATTCCTCAGACTTCAGAAACCAACACAAAGACACCTGTAACATTTAAATGAGGGTTATTGCTTGAAAGGCAGGAACACTCATACATACAGATGAGTTTTACATGAGCCTCACAGTAAATGTTCATATTTGCTTGATGCTTGAAAAAAACAAGTTCTGATGTCATTGTGTGAATTTTGAAGACAACAAGAATATTGTAGAGCAACAATGTCGGAAATAATGAAAGTTGAATGAGTTTACAAAAATCCTCAAAATCATGAGCAGAAATTTTACTGAGTAGTTGAGAAAATGCCATTACACTGCTGATCTAAAGTTTATGTGCATTGGATGGTTTTGGTGTTTACTAATTAGTCAAATATTAACATAGAATAAAATGAAATCAACATGTGATACAAGATGGTTATTTCAGCACCTAGACATCTGTGAGGTTTATCTTCAGTTAAATGATCTCAAATGTGGTGCTTTTGATATGAATAAAAAATATGGGTAGCAACTCTATAAGGACCTATTCTTGTGAGTCCTTGAACATTATTGTAAGATATTTAAATGTTAAACTTTTTTTTATATATCAGTGTAAACTAAGTACCAACTGGCAGCTTAACTGTATCCCATTTCCTTCTGATGCATTTATCACAATGTACATGGTGCCTTTAGCGGTCTGTTGTATGAAGTTCAATCTGCACAGAGGCCTGCAACCTCAGCCACCCTGCAGAGGCACTGCTGCATAGTACACAGGCATGAAAAGGCGTTCACGTGGAGCTTATAACTGCTCCTAATAACGTTCGCTAAAACACTCGACCATGAGGTAAATAGCTCCAGGCCAGCCTGTCTGTCATTGTAATAAAATACTATTGCACTTTTGTCAGCTGGTCCAGTCTCCAACTCCAGTATGCACCGAGATTTCAAAATGGGCAAACAGAAGGTGACAGTAAAGACACTTATGAATGAAAAAATATATTCTGAAACCATTACCTTCCTTTGATTAGTTTTTAAAGTGGTTTTTATATACGGATCAAAAAGCTTTTTAAATCATACTAACACATTTACTAAGAAGGTCTGAACCAAATACATTGAATTGTGACCAGAATAAACGTCTGCAATTTTTTATTTTTTTTGATGTCTTTTATCTAGACTATGTTGTGCTAAATCAGGATAACTGAAACAGGCAAATATAAATGTTCCACTTTTAACTGTGATCCAACCAAGCATATAGTTTCCAGCCCTTTATGAAGGTACAAAGGTCTTGCAGTCCTTTCACAAACCTCAAACCAAATCATTTGCTCAGTCCTAAGAGAATCAAACTGTAAGGCACCTGAGGATTTGTCATGTACATAGTTGCCAAACTTCTAAGCCCCATATAAAATGGTTGGGAGGGTGAGGAGAAACACAGGAAACATTTATAACAACTCAAAGATAATGGTACGAAAATGGCACCATGATATTATAACGTCCCTGCAAGATACTACAAGAAACACTTTGTGTGATTTCTGATATTGTAATTGTGTATCTTATACCTCTTACAATGTGTTACTGTAGATGCGTAGTTATTTCCAACAGTGTCCCTGCAACTTCTAAGAACATCCTGGTGTCAGGACTTCAGTCCAACTGTTAAAGTAGCTGAAGTGACATGATTTTTCACTCAAAACACTATGAAGTTGTGAGTTTATTTCCAAATTATCCTTATCACTTTTGCATCTCAGTCCCACCTCTTTTAAAGTACCAGAACACAGTGTCCCAAAGGAGGAAAGATAATGACAAATTTGACTCAGACCAACTGTTACGCAAGTAAAACAGAAACACGAATTTAAAGCTATGAGAAGCTCAGTTAATCTTAATTTCATTTAAAACCTGCACTGGCGGTAGAGACCACCAGATCAGCAGCAGTAGACATGATGGAGTCACAGTTTGCAGTCTGTGGGAAGTAGACTTTGTCTGACTTCAGTCAGGTGGAAGAGCAGTTAGATTGTAAAAGTAGCCCATCGACCGTTGCTCAAATGAGAGAAAACAACTGTGGTGTTTTCAGCAGATGCGTCCTACGAGATGAGTTGCGATATTGATGAAGACAACCAGGGAGAAATGAAGATGAAAGACTAAACAAGAAGTAAAGCTTCCGATGACAGTAAGAGTGGCCACTATGATCTGAAAAACCTTTTTGCATAAGTTCTCACATTTTTGGGAAGCGAATGTGTTCATTGAAGGTCTTGATCAAATTTTAAAAACATAATGTGATAAATTCACATGACATTGTTTTAGTGTCTAATTCAAACATAAGAAACACAACCAATCTCAAATAATGCTCAAAATAATTGAAAAATGGCATTGTGTGTTTTTTTCCCTCTCTACCACTCTGCCGAACACAAATCATTTTACGCAAAGTAATATAAACAATAATGTTGAAAAAAAAATGCGACCTGTAAAGACTAAGCCCTTACCATCTTAACAGTTTATTGTACGTCCATAATGCACTGTACTTATCGAGCAAATTTATCCTGTTATCCCTTTATTCTATAGTGGGCACACATCTACAAAATATAGCAAGATAAAGTTTGGTTTTTTTTATTATTTTTAAATTTTTTTGCTTAAATTAGATTTTTAAAGTAGTTAACACAACCTGAAATAAATAATGTAAAAATATTTGTAATAAGAATATTTATACCTTATATACAGATCAGTAACATATCTGTGTGATAGACCAAGACATTGATTTAAAGAGGAAGGAATGTGGCTTTAAATTTTTTTTTTTTAAATAAACATCCGAAAAATGTTGTGGTAATTTTCTATCTACTCTGATAAACCCCTAAATAGATTTAGTTCAGCCAATTTCCATCAAATAAATACAGCTGTGGAAGGATTGTTTGTGGATAACAATTTTTAGTTGACTTTAGGTTTTAACTAGACCTTTTATTGGAATTCATAAGAAAAGAGCTGAATAGAAATGTGTGCCAATTTGCAGATTTTTATTACATTTTATTAAAATATACCATCCAAGGAGTAGAAGAGTTGTACATACTTCTGTAAAGAACTGTAGCAGAGTTAATGATATATCTGAAAAAAGTTCAATCTATCTACTTTGTTGAGGCATTTTTTGTGAATTCATTCTAAATTTTCTATGTTCTAAAAATGCTACACTTTTTTGTGAGTTCAGGCTCAATACCCAGTTGCTTATTTTATGGGCTAACAAAATTCAACTTATTAAAAAGTAAATATATATAGTTATTTTTATCTATTTTGTACTGGAAATTAAATATACAACAATTTGCATGGAAAAACAAATTAAATCAGTACACCCTGTCATCCCGTTGTATTTATTTGAAATTTTCGCAATCGCCGATGTCCTGGAACATTTTTTGCATCAATGTCGTCTCTACATTCATTAGTGTTTTGGTAAGGCCATAGGGTAAAGGTTTCAGATTTAGTGCACTCATCCTGGAGTAAAATAGTCCGGCTCATGATGAGCCTCGTTGCCAGTAGAAATTATAATTAAAAAGTGTCGTCATCCCTCTTGACTTTTCACCACCTCATTCAGAGAATGCAGACTGCTCCCCACCGCTGAACGTGTTAAGATTAAAACAGGAAACACTATGACCGAACATGATCACAGTGACAATATCAGCATTTGTTTTAATTACCCGAGGTTGGACTGGCAAAGCGGATGAGTGGGAATGATCTGGAAGTGTGAGGAAAAATAAAAACATGAACCATGATGTATCCTTAATTTTATTTTAAAAGTTGTTGAAATGTCAAACCTGTTTTCTCTCCTGCTCAATAATAATAGTAATAATAATGTTATTCATCTCAATAAAACTCCCTTTTTCTTTATTCTGGGCAACAATCTGAATTAAAACAACTGTCTCCTCATTTAATTCACTGAAAGCAGCAACATTGCAAAATTAATTGTGTCTAAAGTCACACTCGACCATCAGGGACACTTGTCAATAAATCTCAGTGTAAAAAGTACTATTATTTGTGTGTGTGTGCATGCGTGTGTGTGTGTGTGTGTATGCATGTAGGACTGGGTGAGGGACAACAGTTTTAGAGTAAAAAGCAGCACCATTTATTATAGTAACTGAATATTGTTAAAGTGTTATTTGCACCTGTTTTCCCTAGAACTACACAAGCAGATCAAACTAGAACAGAAAGTCAGATGCAGTGCAGAATGGAAACTCTCCATCTAAGAAATATTATTTAATAACCAGACAGATGCTCTGTCATATCAACCAATGCCTGTTATTACCAGAAATAGTAAATGTATAGCATAAACTCTGAAATTAGTCTTATGATAGATACTGTAAATAGAATTAAAAGTGTTAGAATCATAAAAGTTTACTTAAGAGTGGCAGTAATGCCATTAAAAAAAGAAAACAAGGTGCAATTTCTACAACTTATATATAGATATATATATATATTTATATATGAAATTCTGTAGTAGATTTTTCATCTCTGTTCTTGCAATTCAACTGCAACAATATCACATGAGCGTCATAAACTACATTTCCCTTGGAAATACAAACATGAATATTATAAGGTGCAAAATGCATTGGTTGAAATAACCTTTTTCAGGCTGTGTAAATCTTTTTTTTTTTTCTGTTAATAATTCATATTTGTTCTGCAGTGGAAATGTGGACAGCAGCTAGTAATTCACACATCTTTAAAAAAGTCCCAAGACTGAGTGGTATTGCAGGGATGGAAATTATTTTTGGATGGATTCTTTAGTGCTATTTAAAAAAAAAAAATCCTAGCCAGCAACAATGGTTAATGGCTGCAGCACAACTGATTAAAGAACAATCAAAGGAAATGTGAAGTACTTGCCACATCAACCATGGCAAATTGAACACGTTATTTTAAAAAGTCAAACTCTTCTTCAGGTTTTCATCTTGTTTAAAACAAAACAAAACAAAAATACCGCAAAGAAATAATATGGTAACTTTGAGTGATAGAGGAAATATAAAGGGTGTTTTATGATGTAAAGCACTTTGAAATGCCTTGCTGAAATGTGCTATACAAATAAAATTTGATTGATTGATTGATTTTAGCCACAGACCATTGTTGCAAGCAGGGGAAAGTAGAGCTTTGTTTCTCTGAATGGGGAAAAAGAAGTGTTTTTGTCCTTTGACACAGTTTGGGAACAGCAACAATTTCGGTGAACCAAAACATACAAAAGAAGTCTTAAAATTGATTTAATTCGGCCAGCTGTTATTTTACTTTATGTTAGCTCATTCTCAGCCATTGGCAAATGTCCCTGTGATCTTTAAGATACACTTGGCAAAGGTAGATGTTGTGGACATTAACAACCTCTGCATTTATTGTGTTTGGCTGGCACTGCGTGACTTTTAACTGAAGAATATCAAATGAAAATTGAAAAAATAGTTTGCCATATTATTTTTCCAGATTTCTGGGGTTTAAAAACATGGTCAAATATCAGACTCCTATGTCTTTAAGATGGCTACGTTTTATCATTCATCACTGTTGTCATCTATGCAACAGGGGTAACAAAATCTTTGCCTAGTGTATTTTCTTGTCAGGGACAGCCAGGACAGCATGTAAAAAGATTCAGCAAATAGGAGACAGAGGGCAGATGTTGTGCCACGACCTGCTGGTGTTAGATGGAGATAGACTACAGGAGCTAAGGAGGATTGTGTGGACCTCAAAGCCGCGTTTGGGCCTCTGGGATATAGATCTCAATGCTGTCCGCCCTCTCCGTGGCTGAGTTCTGTCTGAAAGAAGCTGCTCGTTTGGCAGCCATGAGGCGTCTGCGGGCTTCCTGTCGCTGGCGGTCCTGGAGGTCAAGCGAGCGCTCCCTCATCACACCACCACGGCCCCTGGCTGGCCTCTTTGGCAGAGGTGGGGGCCACTTTTGCTCCTTGGGACACATACAGAATTGATTACACACCTGAAAATAGTCTATGTTTATTCCAATTAGGAACAATTAGCTTATATTCTGTGGTGCAATCTTTGCATCTTAATGGGAATTACTCTTCATCAACATCTTATACAGTGCACGTTTCCTCCGTTAGCATACAAATTACAAAAATAGACATAAAAAATGACTGTTATGTGAGCTATTTGTGAATTAATAGCATTTTTCACACCTTTTAGTCTGTCGCAGCGTATAACTTGGATGATAAAAATGTACTTTTTCACACATTTAATTAATCATATAAACACTTGAAACTGAATGAGAGGTGAAACGGCATATAGAGAAACATCCAATTTTTTTCTGACAAGCTAATATTTAATCCGATCAAACTCTTCCTGTTTACGTTCAGCAAGGATTACCAAAAAATCTTTCTTTTTGCAAAGCGATCTGCAAATACATGTCCGTAGTCTTGGGGTGAACTTCAGCTTTAAACTATATGATTTAGGCCAAACATTTTGTGTATCATTGCACATATTTCCCACAATGCATTATTGGAACTTTGACCCACTGATGTAATGAATGAGGTTTGTTGCCTGTCGTTCTGGACTGAGACCAGGCAATTGTGATCATCACTCCCAAACACTGACTCTGTCCCTAAGCCACTTTGTAATTAATTTGGCAGTATATGATTTGGGCCATTTTCCATTTGAAAGACATATTTGTGTCCAGCCTTTACTGTCCTGACTGACGCCTTGAGTTTTTCAGAGAAAACTTTCATATAACATTCTTTACTCATGATGCCATCTATGATGTGCAGTATATGAGTCGCTCATGAAGGAAAATCCTCACACAATATCTTTTGCAGATATATTATGCCAACAGTCACCATAGCCAAGTATTTCAACTTTCATTTCATCAGACCACAGGAGAATGTATCCAAAATTTAAGCCATTTGCCCATGTGTGAATTTGCAAACTGTAATTTGTGTTTATATATTTCTTGCGGAGTGACCAAGTGGCCTCCGAGTCACTGAGTCGGTGACATGAATTCACGCCAATCTGACTGATTAGATGTCACACTATATGTTGTGTGTAACTCTAAAAACACTGTCAAATACACAGTCAGGACGAACTTATGCTGCCACTGTATATGAATTCATTGCTGTTGAATAATGAATAAATGAACACAACATTTTCGTAAGATTGTGACAGATTTCTGAGGGCAAGGGTGAGGTTCTATAACTGCAAACTGGTGTTGGTTAAAACAGGGCCTGCCCTGATCCAGTAAGGCTATGCATGGAACATCTGTGTCACTATGAGGGGTAAGCTCCACTGAGCCTGCAAAGTGCTGGAGGCAGTAGAGTGTTTATAGCAGAAAGTGAAGAATACAGATAATTACCCAAGTGCCCTAAATGATCTTGTTACTTCTTAAGTTGCAATTACCAATTAAATGGATGTCTTGCAGCAGTAGGTCTCTCATCTGCAAGCAGCACTTTCATATATTTGCCTTAATGTACGTTATGTAAAGAGTTCTTTAATTGAAAGCTTAAATAATCACAGTGTTTTGCATCTGTTGAAATTTGTTCTTCCCTTCTAGTAATAATTTGATCAAATTGGTAATTCCACCTTGTTCGAAAAATGCCAGTCATCTATAATGAAAGCCTACATTCACAGTTGAACAAATACAATATTTTCCTCAAACTTAGAGTTTTGTCTGCTTTGAGCTACATATTCAGTTGTAGACAGAGTTTCAGCCAGCACCAGGTTTTAATTTAACAAGGCTTCAAAAATTGCTTCTTGATGATTTGTCAAAAATAAAACAAATGCATTCATGTGAAGCAAGGCCTTCAACTCCCCAAAGTAATTAAGCTATAAATGCTGAAAAGGCAAAAATCTCACTAATACTGCAAGTGTGAAACACAACTAGGTGACAACTGGCCTTTCCATTGCTTCTCAAAGTAGTTTAAAAAAAGACTTTATAGCCAGACATGTTTCTAAAATGGAATGCTCTACAATATGTATGTAAGATCATGTACTAAATGTAACTCCAATCAATTGAAAATCAGTCGATGTCAATTCCAAAATTCCAATGGGACCACGTCTCATGGATGTTGTTTATTAGCAACTCCTCCAGGGACAGCATGAATACTCTTACTTCCCACACAGTGTTTTGGCAAAAATAGTTTACAACTGAAATCTGTGTTGGAATCACTTCTTGCCACAGGATTATAAGGCAACTGGATTTATTACTTGGCTTCAACGGAATCAACAGACCAAAGTTGGGGGACAAAGATAAAACATATTTAATGCCATAGCTATATTTGATGCATCTCTACGTTCCCTCCCACTCAGATCATCAAGGAAACTGCAACTATTGTTTGTGAGCATAAAATTTCTCAGATTAAAATGTGTTCATAATAACAATGTGACTAGGGTGTGGATTGCTCAGGTTTCAGACTTGCAGATCACTGATAAAATGTTCTTCTCTTTTCCTGACAAGTACTCACGTGTTTCTGTGCAAAATGAGATATTTGTTTAGTGTTGTCTCAAATTATTTGATGAATATTTTACAGAAGTGACCAAATGAAATGAAAGTGAAAGGGATATGAATACACATCATGGGAGTTGATAGTTGCTTTAACGGAAAAGCAAACTTAACCATCAGCACGCTAAACTAAAACAGATGCTTCCATCTTGTTAATACTCTGACCTCCTGCTAGGGTAGTGCCTAAAAATGAACGCTAACGTTAGAGCCGTTTCCTCTTCAGCTGTGCAAGTTCATCTAGAGTCCATTAAGACTAATTATTACGAGCGTGCGGAAGGAAATGATACCTTCTTTTCGGGGCTCTCCACCAGCTGCCACTGGTTGCTCTTGATCTGCTCCAGCTCATCAAACTTGGCAGTGACGTCATCAATGGTAAGCTGCAAAAGGTCCCAGAATCCAGCCAGGTCCTGAGATGTGGGTCGAGGCATGGCACTGGGGTCCTAGGAAACATGCAGATAAAATACGTCTTTTCTACAACTAACAGAAAGGAGAAGAACTCTCCATATTGTGCAAAAGTTTCAATCTCAGTACTTTTGTAGATATTCCTTGGGTTCCCAGTCATTCAATTACAGTTTGGTTTCCCAATTACAACCACTATGTGGCAGTATATTACCAGTGTTGATTGCTAGCTACATCTAGTAGTACACTTGTGTGTGTATATTTTAAACATGAGCAAGAGAAAAAACAAATGTACTACAATTGCTCTTACATGTTCTGTGTTGATTTGTATAGCATTTGAGATATTTGAAAATTAAACATTGGCTTTCTCTGTGTCATGCAATTTTAGTGTCAGAATTTATTCTTTTGTAGCAATAAATTAGGTCATCAGATATTCTCTTAAATATATGTGACCATGCAGCTGAATAGACTTTGTTTTGGGCCACACTTAAAACATAAATCACACATTTTCAACAAGGATGAGGTCATGTGGATAACAAAATTTATTAAACCAATATGTGTTTGGGATGAATATCCCAACTAAACCTATTTCAAAGGTATAATAATTGAGCCTGGATCTAATGAAAGCATGAATAGTTTGTTATGTTTTTTCTGCAGTTTTTTTAATATGTATATAAATATAACTGAAGATAGATATGTATGTAGGATCCTTTATGATTGATTATGAATAAAAGTGGACTACAGCAATTTAACTATAAATTTCAACTTGCAGAATATGATTTTAAAGAATACTGAATAATTATTCCACCCAGAAAAAAGGCAGCAAACGTCTCACTGCACAATCACATGCAAAAAAACAAATGCTAAATGTTCTAGGAATCATTCACTGATGACCCAGTCAAAATTTGCATGATCTTTGATTTATGTTTTTGAATGTCATCACCGGTTTTGAAGTTCTGTATTTTGCACTGTATAAATTTGAAGTAGCAGCACACAAAGACAGACAGAGATAGAGACAGCCCTGTGATCATTGCCTCAAACAGCAAAACACAAAAACAATGGGAGCTTAAACCAAGAAGTGTTTCATCAGCTCAAAAGTGAACAATATTTAGAGCCTTTTATAAACACTCTGCAGTCCTTCCACCATTCAAAGAGTGAAACAGACTCATCTGCTTCTCTCTGAAAGATATCTGAAAGCTTGGGGCAATCTAAGGCTTGTCACCACCGATGTAAGACCTAATTCATCATCCCATTATCTTTGAGGAGAGCCAAACAGTAGGGTTATTCAAAAGAAGGAAAAAAAGCACAAAGCAACACAAGTTATTAAGACAACAGACTTCATCCACCTCCACAATAATACATTAAATTTTTTTTATTAGTCTTATATTTTTGAGTAAGTCTGTTTCTCTCTCTTTCACTGTCTATTTCTCCCTTATCTGCAGAAACATTGAACTTCATATTCTGATATCAGCTGACTCAGGGGATAGTTAGCATCAGAAAAGGTATGAAGTATGAGCAGACGTGTCATGAGGGTTCAACAGTGAGAAGGTGATGCACTCCATTATTCAGACCCTGAGTTCCCATTCAATCTGCTGCCTCTGTGCATTAATTGATTGCCTCAACACAGGTGCTGTTTCCTATTGGAATTCCCCTTTCGTCAACCGTGGGTCAATAGCAGCAGAGTGAATGCATCACCATCGATCTTTGCGGTCTATTTCTGGAAAGGTGCACAAATGCAACATCAGGACAACTACCTGCCTAAAGTTTAGAGAGGGTGAGGCCAATTTACATGCAAATACTGCAAAAAAAAAAAAAAAAGCACAGATAAGCCTTGCTTTTCCTGTAAACAAAATTGATATCACAAGAATAAAATGTATTTGAGAATTGCTCACCAGATTCTGTTGGCACAGCCAGTAAAACTGCTGAAACTTTTGAGACATTAATAGCTGAGCACTCCCAACTGCACTCCGGATTTTTCCTAGGACTGGAAGACACACACAAATTTTGGATTTATTACCAATAGCTTGGCAAAAGACAGAATGATGAGCAATTGGCTTTCAGTCGGTCACAATAAGCAAATCAGCTCAAAAAAGTGTGTCACAACTCTTGTCAGGATCACTGTTAATATTACAAATAAATACGGTGGCTCCACTGATGTGACATTGACGTCAGAGAGCAAAAACCCCAGCTGTCTCAGGGACACTCACTCTCCTCTGACAGGTCATGTTCCTCTGCTTCTCCTTCCATCTCTTTGCACCATTCCTCAAGCCTCTTTGTTTCATTGTGAAGGAGTTGCATGAACCAGCTCCCATCCCTCCGGAGGGGGGATACTCGGCCTGAGTCGGTGCTCTCCAGGCTGGGTTCCACCAACCAGGGTTCAGGCTGGGGGCTGGAGCGCCCACTGGAAGGCCGGTAGTCCTCCCGATAGCTAAAAAGACCCTGTGTGCGGACAGTTCGGATGGCTCCATACTGAGTTGGTGTGCTGGGCTCAGAGTGGCGTCCGAAGGCGCCACCGAACTGCAGGCCTTTGTCCTCCATGGAGGGAAAGCCTTCCAGCTCCAAGTCTGCTTGCACCGCCGTGGTCACACTGTTGGAACGCTTGAACCTCCCGTGCCTAGCAATGATGAGAAGAAAATTAAAAATACCAACTTGAGACAGAAAAGGACAAGTATAATGACACTTTCACCTGCATCGCATACCTTTTCCTATCTTCCACCTGGATCCCTATGGAGTGAAACTGAGGAAGGCCTTTACTGTCAGCCTCAGAGTCTGTCATAGTCTCCACCTGGGAAATTCACACACCAATGTAAAAATGACCCTCATTTCCAATACAAATACACATAAACATATTAATTAACAAGGATTTGCATTAGCTAAGAAACTTGATATGTTATTATATTGATATACAATTGTACACGTAACATTTTGTTTACATGCTCAACTTCAACCTAATTATCAGGTTTTTTAAAAGTGGTTCCATTCTCCATCTTGTTATTGATCCAATTGTAGCAATGGATTACATACAGGTGTACTTCGAAGACAAATACATCGCACTGCATTTTATTTAGGGTTATCAGAATAAAGAAGGCTGAATGCAAAATGACTGTCAAAGTTTGCAAGTTTTTATGTGCAAAATACATTTTGAAAATGAGTTATTGTAACCCACCTAACCATACATTTAGGTTCTACTTTTTTTGGTTAATCAATGATAATCTCAATAGGTCTGCAGTTATAACATGGGAAAATACAAAAAAAAAACATACTGCATATAAATTCTTAGGTATATTATGTTAAAAATTTACTTGAGTTAGCTTTTCTGCCAAAAATGGCAGACAACGTCAGTATATTTTGTGAGAAACTTCAGTTGTAAGTTTTACTTTTCAAGGTGCCTGGAACAAAAATTGAGGCTGCTAGATCTCTTGTTACCTGTATACCAATAGAAGAACGTGGGGTTTTGAGGTACTCCTCAGCCTTTGATACCAGTACTGCCTTGTCACATGTCTGGACGGAGGTGTGACTTCCCACCAATGCATGCCTCTGGCCTGCCGCTGATTCCATGGCCATGGTGACTGCCTTGGTGCTGTCCAGGCTGTCCGTGGAGCTGTAGATAGGGCGTCCAAGGCTATCCGTGGTCCACAGACCTCCTCGCGAATGCCTGCCTTCCGGGTAGGCATCCTGGGTGGACTCTGTACTGCTCTGGGCTGTCACAGAAATAAGAGGCTTGGTGGTGGCGCGGGGGGGCACAGGAGGTGGGGTCTTCTTGTAACTGGGAGGATATGAAACCGCTGGACAGCAAAAGCAGGATGAGAGAAGGGGGGCAAGGCAAAATAAGGGTAGAGGGTAAAAAAAAAAAGTGATAATGAAAAATGTGGCCAAAGCTGACAAAGGCAAATGTTGCAGTTCACCACCATCACGCATGGTGTGATAGAGGGACCTCATTGCATGATGAGATATCAGACATTGATTTAGCAGTTAAAGCAAGGTGAGTGTCATTAAGGTGGAAAATAGCAGCTTTCATTGGGGAAGAACAATGAAGGATTATGGAAAAGAATAGATAATTCTGTGGAAATGAAATTTTGATGATAATTCAGCTAGGCTAGACCTCAAAACTGGACTGAATTACGGTATACTGACTTCATTTTGTATAAAACGCTGCTCTTGCTTTGTAATAGATTTATTTTTATGATAAAAAGGGAAAGAACCTTTAAACCCTTATCGAGGGGCAGCATCTTCCAGCAAATTACTGACTCAAAGCCTATTTTGTTTTCGTCTGTAAAAGTTCCAGGTTAAAAATTGAGTCTTTATTATTTTTGGAGACAATGTTGTTTGACTCGTTTAATTGGAATAATGGTGAATCAGGTCTCCGATTGTCCCAGTACGTTGTAAAAAGCAGGAAGTAGTCAAATAATTTGCCAAAGTAAAGCTCCACGCTGCTTGTTTACTGTCTGCTGTGAAAGCAGCTCGTGTTTAATTAGTTATAAGACAGATGGTTCTATTGTTAAGTAATTTCATTAAAAGCTGGGTAAATCTATTCACCTTTGAATGATGACTAATCAGGGACTGTTACTCACTATAAAGCAATGTAGACTTTTCTTCGTAATTTGAGATCCATCATTGAGCTCAAAATGTGCGATTTTGAATTTTTCATTTTCAGCTTTTTTCTTATTTTCAATTTAAGTTTCCTCCATAAATGGAGTGAAGCACAATATAATGAAACACAAAGAAACACAAACATTAATCACAAATGCAAATCTGTGGCAATCATGCTGAGAAATACATATATTCCCTACAGCATGTGATCTCCTCCTTTACTAATCGCTTGTAATATATTTCATTTAGTAACCCTCATCCTCAAGCTTACATAAAGGATGTTATCTAATAAACAGAATAAGTGAACGCATGATCTAATACAGGAATGTAAGTGTTCTTTTCCTGCTGAAATACCCACAGTATGAGCATAGCTATCTTTAAACACACATTCTGTGCACACACTGAGGACGCTGTGGATTAAAGGAACTCTTTTAAACTAAATCCTACCTTAGATTTGACTTCTATCCAGCATAAAGGGGCTGGAATTCTGTGAGACACAGCAGGTGGATATAAGAATATAATGACTCAGAGTGAACAATAACTCCACACTTTCTGTCATTACAAACTAGCGCTGACTGAATTATTTTTTAAATTGAACACGTTACAAACTGCTCAGTGCCAACACAGAACTCAATAACATAAATGTCAGACTTTAGCAATATATTTGCTTTAAAATAAGTTTTGCTATTATATTTTAAATTTGGAAAATCTGAGTCATGCCTTGCCTTTTGTTAATTTGGCTCTGGTAGCAAATATTCTAATAATTTCTGTAAAAAGCTGCAGAATTTTATGTGAAGCTGAGAAGGAAATGGAGAGGTCTTAAATTTAAGACAATGATTAAAATAAAAAAAGGGCACAGAAAGCTATCAATACAGCAGATGATGCATTGTGAGGATATTAAAAGGGAACTGCATAAGGTGAAAATGTGGTTTAAGAATGAACGTCAACCTGAGACAAACTCAGACTGAAGTTATCAGTTATGAAAGACAGGTGCTACCGCACTCCGTACCAGTAGGTGGCGGTAATGCATCCCTAACATTTCTTGGCAAAGAAACAACAAGGAGACGAGGGAAAGACGCCTGTTAATTAGTTAACACAAACCTGGTGTGTTGGAAGGAAAAAGAGAAGAACAAAAACAGCTAAGGTAAGAGATACTCATGTGAAACGTGAGAGTAAAAGCATATGTTCCCAAAGCAATGATAAATGTATTAAATTGATGTTACTTTACAAAGACTACCTTTAAATCCTTTATAGAATCAAACAAGTGTGATATTGTCATTTCCCCTGGTGGTTCAAATGATATTGATGAATCGAGTTTCTGCTCTACTGGGAGGCAGAAATGTTAGGATAGGTCAACCTGACTTTTTAAAAGCACTACATCTCTTTCTCTGTCAGTTGTGTATCCAGAGACCTACCAAGCAACAAAGGATTGTCATATTTTTACAGTAAGGCCTGCACTCCCCTGATAAACAAGAACCACATAGAGGGCATTTGCAGCCAGTGAAGCAGGAATCAAACTTTTTAAAAACTCATAATTTGACCTGTCACTTGGGAAAAGGTTAAAAAGACTCGCATCGTCTGAGCAACTGTTTCATGGCAAGAACTGGAACATGTAATCTAGTTTCTGTCTAAAACACTGATGCCTGAAGGAGCACCAGTAAGGGGAGATTTTGTGACATGGATAATTCTTCATTTTTTGCCTGCCAAACAGCTTAACTCTTGAATACCCTAACCCTATCTATCACCAGATTTATAGTGTCAGTTGACCCGCTAGTTAAATTTACACAGTCCAGGAAAGTTTGTTGTCCTTCATTTATCCAGTTGATGCTGCCTTTGTTAAATCGAACTGTTTGGCTTTGCATGATTGCACAAAAGCTCATCAGTAAATATGTCCCTCCATAGAGAGAAACCAAGACTAAACAAACCTAAATTAAATTCTGCAGATTGTGTTGCTGTTGAGCTTATAAGCAGTCATACCTTTGAGAATTTACTGTTTTGTTATTTTCTATAACCCCAACATGTCAGCTTTTAAAATGGAGACATCAATGTTTTTTATTTATTTATTTATTAATTTTTATATAACCAGGTTAAAGTTATAGGGCATTACTCTTTTAGGTTTAGACTTTTCATCTAATGTTATGAATTTGCATATTAAACTGTTTAGTGCCACATATATTGTGATGATAAAAGCATCACAATATGTCCCTTTTTACCCTCTATTAAAACCTGGTGAAAACGTTTGTTCTGTGTTTTTCAAAACAATGTTGTCTAGCTGCAAAGTGGTGAATAGTCTTTGTTCAAACAGCATGTGATAGGTTTACGTGTGAAGTATGAAGTGTATTAAAGGTTTAGAATATGTCTCCCCATTTGTTTTGTTCTGTTTTTAACTCCTACAGACGTGTCTTTACTACGACTGAAAAGACAGGGGCGGTATAACACTGCTACCTGGAGGTGGCTGAGCACGGTCCACACTGCATGAAGTAGGGAGACGAAACTGAATCCCTGTAAGGAGGAAGCAACATCAGTTAGAAAGAAAACATGCAGGTAAAAGTACACTCTTGACTGGGTTCATTCAAATAATACTGTATGTTAACAGAAAAACTAGAATACTTAAATTCATCAATGAACCACTACGGAGATAAGCAAACACAGAGCTCATAAACCACAATTGTATATCTTTGAAAAAAGTGTTTTTTTTTTTACATGTCACATGTACTCTCATTGTAAAAAATAAAGCACAGCCTCTTTCAAGCAGATCTAGTTGCTACAAGGGTTTAAAATTTTGTAAATCTAACATAATTTTTCCAAAACCACACAATACAACCCATTACCTCTTATACAAACAGAAAATGAATCTTAAAACAAATAAAATTATTGAGGTTAACCACCTTATTTCAGTTTTGTTACAAGCGTTGATGAATATTTATAAAGATATAAATATCTTTTTCCGATGCATAATATCAGGAAAATGCTTTGAAATGGTTTTGCTGAAAATTTCAATAATATTTATTTAATCCCCAAAACATTTCCTTCTTTACAATCACTAAATATCCTTACAACTCTTCTTTGAGCTTTGGCAGCCCAGCTAAAGAAATGCATTAACAGAAGTTAGTTCAGTGAAACGTCTGAAATAAAATTAATGCACAGAGAAATAATGCACTTCTTAGCGTTTAAGACTCTAATCATCTTGATTCTTGTAAAAACAAGATGCTCATTTTCTTTTTAATAAATAGGACCCAGACTGGAAGTAGAATAGTTTTCCACTATTTATGAATTTGTGTTTTACACAATCATTCTTAGTAAAGTATTTTTTATGTTCTTTGAAACAATAGATATAGTAAGAAATGCCATTTTTGTTTGGGGAAGTTTGCATCTCTCTTTCTCTGATAATTTGATTTATGACACTCCTGAGGTTTCTGGACATTAAGGTCATTAAGATTAACTGATAAATCCTACAATAATTATACAATACAGTAATTTTTTACCATGAGTGTACATTGTGTAACAGTCTTAAGCAATTCTTCTGCATGTGTCTGTGTTTTCTTCTCCAAATGCATTTTCTTTTAATAGCCCTGAAGCAACTTGTAACCTTGGTGAGCAATGTCCATAAGCAACATTCCCTCTAAGGCGTCTTAAACATGTTGCTGTGCTTGAAATGTCTCTTCGGGTGTTTGTCTGTCGTACATCTTTCTTTTGTAGGCAATTTTATTTACCCATTTTAATACAATAAATGTTTCTGTATAATAGTAAACCAATTCCCAATAGACTTTAATACTGTTGGCAAACAGTTTTGGAATAATAGCAGTTGCGAGGAATGTGACTCATCCACTTTGCTTTAAATCTACAAAATAAGCATCATGACTCTTAATAGTTTATACTTTGAACTGAAAGACACAACATTAAGGAACATTCATTTAAATATGTAAACATTTTGCTCTCCATATCTATGTTAGACATGCAGACAAGACAGACGAGAAATTCTCAACATGAATGTGAAGCTATAGTCGTATAAATATCATTTGAAATGATTCTCAATTTTTAAAGTAGATAAGTACTTTTAAATGTGTTTTACAAGGTGATCATTAAGCCATTCAGAGATTGTGTCTCTTGTTAGCAGGCACAATCCTTCAGTCATTTTTGGACTGCACTGTAAAAGTAATGCCCAGAAAGATCATCAGGTCCTGAAAAAGCAAAGCGAAGTGTTGTAGGAATAAACTGGAGAAGTTTTCATGTTACACATTAGCAGAATTAACAAAATGATATTAAGACAACAAAGAACAACAAGAAAGTCAGACAGAATGTGGTGAGAGACCCAGACAAAGAACACAGTTCTGAACTGGAAAGTAAGAGAGTCTGTCTCTGTTCTCTAGTTTCACTTTTCGAAAACAATTTAAGAACTCATGCATGCTGCAATAAAGCATTTGGACATTTTTAAAGATTCATTTGCACATTTTGCTAAATTTAGCAGTGATTGGATTAAATCATTTTACTCTGATATACTTACAATGTAGACATTGTACTGTACTTAATTCAACGAGCATAAGCCAAACTTTGATGTCTCAGAAACTTTAGCCTTTTTTTTGTTTTTTGTTTTTTTGCAAAATCTGGTTGAGATTTCCAATTATGTATATATGAAAAGTTCTGATAAAACTCCATGGAAACCTCATGCTAGTTTTGTCACAGAGAATGTGACAGACCATTACTCTCCTTCATTTGCAGCAAGTATTCTCAAACCTGTTCCTTTGATTTCATGACTTAAAATTTCAAAAACAAATTGACAAAAATTGCTCAGATTGTGTCTCCACTTCGTCCAACTCCCTCCATTTGCGCTTCAAGCCGTTCTTGCCAAAGTTGTGGGCTCGACTGGCAAAGAAGTGCTGTCCAGGCTGCTCAAGTAGGGGCGCATTGTGAATGAATGATGTGCAGAGATGTTTCTTACATGAGCATGGGGGCTGAAAATGTAAAGAGTGAAGGATGACATGGTTGTAAATGCAATAATATGTATTTTTGTAAACATTCTAGATTATAGCCTATTATTTTCAAATTATTACAACATATGGTAATATATTGTCATATTACAGGGAGACTATTATTTTAATTAACATTAAAATTAAAGGACCGTCTTTACTGTAGCAAAAAAAAAAAAAATAATTACAAGTGGCAATATTTCTCCGTAACAAGACATGCTATGGCCAAATGTGATGCGTAATTACACCATTTCATTTGTGACGAGCATTTTTTGTTAGACTGGAAACTGAACTTCTTAGAGGTTTTCTTCAAAAAATACCACCGTTCCACACATGCCAGCTTAGTGAAGTACTTAACTAGTTCTTGTCCTGTCAACTTATTCTCTCTCCATGAGGGAAATGGCCAAGTCTTTTCTAGCTTTCAAATATTTTATGTGCATTCTTCAGTCAATGTTCATTTCAAATTAACATTTTTTTAAAAAGAGAGTTTGAGAAAACACAATCTGTTTTTGCAATGTTCACCAAATGAAGCCCCTGTGACTGTTGTTGGAGTGAAGCATGAATAAATGGGAAAATGGATGAATGAATGAAAGATTAGGACAAATAGAACCTCATTCCAGATGATGGTACTGGACTTACAATTTCTTAAACAATTGTTTTGAGAAGGCCTTTACTTCTTACTAATTGAACAATTGTAAAATATAGCCACATACATATATACATACAGTGGTGATGCCCCCATGGTGCAAAGTGACTCAACCTTTTAGGCAAGATCCTCGCAACAAACCAAGACAAATCAATGGCCAGATAGCAACGACTAAAACACCATTTTTGTAGAACACCAAGTTGAATACTTTATAAAAACATTTTGAGAGAAAACAATATTTTGGCCAATAATATTTAGAATTTGTGATGTCAGAGGTGTCTTTAGTAACACATTTTCTTCACAAACATTAAAACTTGATATGTTGGGTATAAAAATAGATCTTCATATGTATAAAAGACAAGCAACAACTTTGTCGAAGGAGGTAAATAAACTAGAGAATAAATGGAAATGCAAACCTAATACTCTACATTTTTACTGTAAACTTCATATTTTCCAATATGATTCCAACCTTGTTGATCGGTGACCTTAATCTAGCAGGTTTCAGCTTGATCAGAGCTAACCACTGACTGGACAGTTTAAAACTTAAAATATCTGTTTTGTTTTTTTTTCAATCAAGGAATACAAAATACTTATCGAATCATACTAACAAAAATCCTCTTCAATGTGGACATAATTACTGAGAGAAGAACATCCTAAAGTGAATATTTTAAGCATCATTAAGGCTGAGAGCAAGACTGTATTAGGAGAAAGTCATGAATGCTTAATAGTAAAAAATGTTTTAACTTTTAACCTCCAGCTGTTATTGGACATGCTTTGTTCTGGAAATATCAGCAACCTGCAAACCTGGCCTAAAGATAAAAAGAACCGGCTATTTTAAGGTAGACGATGGATTTAGGTCATCTTGGAATAACAATTCCTGTTTTGGTAATCCTACCCTCAGTCACTTTTCTCTGTTAATACACAATAGTAAACCATTTTTGTCTTTGTACCAAAAATAAACAATTACACAACAAAAGAATAATTTGCTAATCAATGAAAAGAATAATCTTAATTGTCCGATCCAAGCTTAGCAAAACCTAAGAACAAAAATAAACACAACTTTTAATGAATCTACTCAAATATGAGCTTCAATTTATAAAATGAGTGACAAAAAGTTGTTTTTGCTAGTTTACATGTTGGAAAGTGACTAAAAAAAGTTATAAATTATTGCTTTAACGAAAGACATCATTCATGGCAGCCATTGATTTGTTGTGGTTTGTAGAATACTGTTGTTGATTCTAATCTACCTTACCAGACAAAGTCTTAAGATAGGAAAAGGTAAACTACTGCTCGCTCATTTTGTTTTCCTCTGTTTACCCAAAGAAAATATACAAAATGGCTAACGCAAGAAAGTGAATCACTTATATTGATGAATTGAACAAAACAGTAACATTAAAACAATATTAAATCATAATTTAAAAAAAAACTAAAATTAATTTATGAGCACTATACTGTGTACCATGGATCTATGATAGTATGTTCCACCTTAAATACATTTGAAATGGAACATTATATATATATATTTTTTTCTAATTTCTTTAAATAAATGCAAAGGTTGCCAGTGAACTAACACCAGGATAGAAACGACTACTCCTTTGCTACCTTTCTTGATTTTTACTTATCATATAGAATCTTTAAAATTCCATTGGATTCAATGTAGAAACAGATGAACACATTTAAATGATTTAATATATATGATGACATCTTCAAATTATGATACATCTTATTTTAACCAAAGTGAAAATGTTTATGAGAGACAAAATGTGTGAAAAGCTGAAGAAACAACATGGAGAAAAGAAGATTTTAAAAAAGCAGTTCCCTACCAGACCTACCGTACTCCCTACGCCCCCCAGCTAAACTACGGGCGCCTAAAATAGGGGAAAACAAAAAGAAAAACAAATAAACCAACAAAAACAAAAAAGATGGCAGCTCAGCTGAAAAGAAAGGCATATTGAAGTAAAATACACTCTGCCTCATCTATGTAGTGTAGCTGTAGTCTGTTCAGATGTGTAGATATTGGACACATGCTGCAAGTTATCTTCGAATGCGTAGTAAAGCTATGACCCCCATTTTGAGTACCACAAACTTAATTATGATAAACATTTTAATCCATTGTCTTCAATCATTTTTCGAAAACACATAAAGTAAAAAAAAAAAAAAGACAAGAAATACCACAGTAGGCAATGGCCGTTAAAGAAAAAAGACATTTTTCTTTAGTTTAACAAAATAGACAAAGGCTAACAAAAATGCAAGCTAAACAAAGGTTTTACAAAAAGAAAATGTCAGATGTTTTCCTGTAAACTGCAGTCTGAATAGAAAATAATACGTTATCCAAGACACTTGCATTAAATAAAGGAGAAAAACACAAAATGGGAAAGAAGGTTTATATTCAAGCAGTTTTACAAGGTCAGATTCCATCCAGAAACCTTTGTCCTACCTGGACTTCACAGATTTGGCACAGTTGTTGCATTAAATCTCTGGTTTACAAAGTAAAAGGAAACAAAACATAATGAGATGAGAGGGTGTGCTAACATATAAACCATTATAAGCAATTCAGAAACTCTCACAAACACTTACTGTGGATATTTTATTACACAAAATAAAGTTGCATGTTTAAAAATAATGGTGACTATCCTTTTTTTTCTTCTTCAGATTTGTTAAATATTTAATTCTGTGTATATAGCTATATTTATATATCATTTTAAAATAATGTTTAGATTTGTTTATTTTGCTACATTTCCACTTTATTCAAGGAAAGAATAACATCTTTGGGCTATGTGTTAAAATAATAATGACAGATTGGAATAATCTACCTGGGCAAGTTACCTAGAATCTATTGATTACTAGTTTGCTTTTTTTGTAAATTGAGAAAATGTACAACAATTTTAGTATATAATACTAGCAATTATATACTAACAGGTCTTTTGGGGTGGATAATATTCTAAAGTGTGTACATTCTGAGTGAAGTAGAGATGATTATTTTCTACATAATGGCACAAATCATGCAAATGCTACTACATGGCAGTAATCTCAACAACAACCTCTTAAGATTTTTAGCATTATGTGTGAGCTATAATGTTAACTATCTGAAAAAAGCATGTATGTTGTCAGTAAACTTAAAAGTGAACAGTTAAATCAAAGCATATGTATGATTTTTTTTAATCAGTACTTTTCCAGGTCTGATTCTATTTCAGCCAGTCACGCTTTATATTATTTATTAATATTACAACCAGTACATACTTTGATGGTATTCATATAGAAATAAAGGCCTTGCATAGCATGAATAAATGTAAATTGAAGACATCATGACTTGCCAGTCTACAGCACCTTTAAATTTGTTTACACAATTAAAACAATAGGAAGATAATTGAATCAGAAAATCTAGCGTAAACATCTTGAACAAAATCAAAATAGTGAATATTTTTTATATTCATTAAATTACTAAAGGATGTTTGTCACAGTCAGAAGCCTTCTCTGATATATTTGCAAAAATCCAGCATTTGGCCTCAGTAATGATGTTTTAAGTGTAAATATTTTTGAAATTTCTTCTGTGTTGCAAGTGGCTATGATTGACAGTCTCCATTGCACCCTGCTCTTCCAAACTCCATGGTTTAGTGTTGTTAAATCAATAATAAATAAAACATGTCGTTGAGAAATTCTCCGTTGTAAAAAATACATATTGGATTTTAATCAATTTTAGTGAAAGAGCAAGGAAAATACGTATTGAACACATCAATGTTTTTCCTAGTTAAAATTGGTCTCACAGGGTTATTGAGGTGAGCTTCATTAAAGATGCCGGTGGCTAATAAAAGTAGCAATTCACACATACAAAGATATCAAAAGTCTATTAATTATGTTGTAAAATGGAATGACTCTGGGAATAAGCATTTCACACCTGAAGTAAATTTGATGCTAAAAGATGCTCAAAACCATAAAAATGTATGTAATCTGTCATTACTTACAGTGCATATAATATCGGTGTGTACATAAAGATCTAATTGATGGCCTATAAAAGGATTTTTATTTCCAGTCTCTTGAAAGCATTTTATGATTGATAAAAACAAGGGGCTCTTCAACATTTTTGGATCAAACATACTGTTGGAATTGTTTACATTTACATTTCTTCAGATCCAAGCATTCCAGTGACCCATGTTGTACCATAAACCAGTCACAATCAGGAGTTTTTTCCAATATTTATGACAGAGGAATCAAAATAATTAGAATAGCTGTTCAAGAGTCACTGACCATTGTGAAAAAGACTAGCCACAATGGCCTCTGTGCATGTTCACTGCACAAGACTCCCCTGCTGAAGAAAAAAACATGTAGAGACTATATTTGATGCAGAACATTTGAGAGGCTGATTCAATACTCTGAGAGTACAGTATGGTTAGATAACATAAAAAAAATGTACCTTTTGGATATCTTTGCACATGCCATGTTCGAAGAGGAAATGACATTGACACACTTCATGTTCGTATCAATTTTAGAAATTATGTTCACATGTTCAAGACATAAATTTCCCTGCTTTTTAAGACAGAGCAGCTGTAAGAACTCTGGGTCTTTTCTGAGTTTTATTATATGGCCAAATTAAAATTTAAAGTGGTTTAATTCTTTATTAATGTAATTCAAAATATATGTTTGATAAATTTTGTCTTTTAGTAGTCTAGAAAGGGAGCAATTTTCTTTTTATGAACTTGGGCGATAATGCCTTTCTTTTTATGCCTTTTCAATGCTGCAGATATCTATCAGATTTAAGTGCTGTCAAATGTTGGCTTGTTGGTCTCAGATCTGTTCATGTCTGTGTGAGCTTTGGTACGCCATGTCGGTAAAGTGATATAGGGGGTGAAATGGCTGTGGCAGTTATGAGACAAAATAATGATTGAGACCCCTATCCATTAAGACAGGAGTCCACTTTAGCCGTCACTAGTGAGGCGGTGTTGGAACATTCAGCTGTACTACACTCCACCTCTGTGGACATTTCTAAGAGGTAGAGGCCTTTGTCGGCTCTGATTGTCTACTTGTAGGGATAATGTTTAATTATTACAATTCAGAAGTTACAAACTGCCCGAGTCGAGATTATGGGAAAAATTCTACAATTGCTGATTATAATCAAATTAACTAAAATTAAAAGCAACATTTAAAGAACTGATGGAAGTCTGTGTTTGTGGCATAGTGTCTTTTAAAATATAAACTTTAACTGATAAGACACTGTAACAAACATGTGAGGGCCTCCAGTGAATACCACATACAAAATAGGAGAAATTACAAATTTCATCATATGTGCCAAAAGAAAAAGAAGCAATTAAGTTGTTGACAATAAAACAAATAGCTGGGGAAGAGTAAGAAGTAAAAACTTTTTTTGTCAAGAACCACATTTACCTCAACAATTCCTCGCAGTTCTATCAGAACACAGTATTTTTTATAACTGCAAGTAAAGTTTTGAATATAAGTTTGTCTATATACAAAATGATACATGTATATATTGTACATTTATAGAGATATAACATGAATTTAGTTTGTGCTGGAATGGACTGAACGTAATATTTTATCCTTCATGATCAGCATGAATCGCTCTCCTGTTTCACCTTCCTGACGAAATTGGGTCTTATGGTCACTCAAATTGAATCACTGTAAACAATTCTGGTTTAGGATGAAGATTTGCAGAGCCTTGAGACGAAGCATTCAACACAGTGTTGTGGAAATGTTTACAAATGTGATAGGGTGTTATATTCCTGTCATTAGATCATGGTATCTTCTGTTTAAATAATGTAGCTATCTAGTTTATTTAACCAACTTGTAAACTTTTTCAATTATGCCCATTTCTGCTGCAACTTGCTACAAATGGATGAAGGCAAAGGCAAAAGAATGCTTTGATTGAAATAACTAGAATGTCAGTAGTATATCAATATATTCTTAAATAATGTATTATTTAATGCATTCATTACAAAACTATGTTTTATAAAGTTATAAACGTATTCACAGTATTTTTTTTTTCAGTATATGTAGGTGCTTAAGATGTTTCTACAGAATGAGAAACTGGAATGAACATGATCTATTCAGATTAATGTGCAGAAACATGCCACTATTTGCCTCCCTGTATTGTAGGTGTTTTTGGACCAACCAAGTTCTGAAGGCTCACTGACATTTTGGAAACTGAATATGCTCATAGTGTTATTTTTAGACTCTGAACTCCAGACATTGATGATGATATAACTTAAGGACATACCAGAAAGCTGTAAATGTGCTAAAATACTTATCACCATATGTTTTCAACACATACTGGGTCTCCTATGTATTTTGTGGAGGATTGAAGGAGAGGGAGGAATGACTGTGCAGAATCAGGATTGCAATGGCGTTTACTTACTGATCAAACAGTAAAAAGTTTGCAGTTTTGACTATTGGCTGTGCTTGGTTTATGTAGTATTTGCATGTCCTTCATTTGTATGTGAAGGTTATTGATTTTCTCTCACATGTATGAGATTAATTTGAGCAGGTGTAATTCTAACCAAGATTATGGGAAGTGTAAAACTCCGGCTTGAATGATCCATCCTGTCAGAGATTGGGTCATACAAGTCGAAGGGAAATTAAGAATATTCCTCTGAATGACTGAATGAACTGCAAACGGAAGGTGAGCCCCTGCAGGAATCTCACTTCAGCCACTTGTATGAGCATCTTGTTCCTTTGGACATAATCCATTACACAAGTTTGCAAGTAAAGTATTGTTGATGGACAGGTAAAGTGATAGGTTCCATTTAAGATTCTGTATTTGTATTTGAAAATTTTCATTGTCCCTGGGATGTTTTGGGTGTCTACGCTAATTTTCATATGATTTTCTCTCACATATCTTAGTATTTTAACTTACTTTCCTCACTATTGTTGTAGGTAATAAAATCATAATAGGGACTTTTATAAAACAAGGAGAAAGTTCTCCTGAAAGGTACCTAAACCAAGAAAAGGTTTCTGTGGTCCAAAAACACCTTTTTTTATATTGATTTATAAATTAGAATGAATCCCATTTCTCTTTTGCTTCCGCTAAGTCGTGCCCCTACATTTGTTAAACATTGACACCAGTGGTAAGGGTATTCCAATTGTACTGCATGATAGATGTTAAGGGTGAAATGGTTTGGCTTTCTAGGCCTGATAAACAGGCCTATAAAGTATTTTTTTAATTACTTTTTAAAACACTTTCAACTAACTGAATTGATGATTTCATCAAAGATTTAGAGACACCTTTAAGGCCTTAAAATGGGATTCAGTCTAAATATTCCTTACATTTTCTTCTATGCGAACTCTCCCTTAGTAATTAAGGTATGTAAGGACAGTGAAGGATAGCTAATGATGCACTTTTTGGCACTTGAGGATCTGAAATATCAGCCACATTCTCTCTCGCATTCATATCTTACCTGACTCTGGTGTAAAACTAAATCACCCTCTTTTATTCCATGGCTTAGCAAGACACTTGTTAAAAAAAATACTTGGAAACTTATTGTACGCAGTTCAAGAGATGACAGACTGTGTCTGCATAGAGTAAAGGGACATATAACAGCTTTTCTTTACATATCTGGCTCTTAACCTGGATCTTTTTAAATCCTTTTACAGTATGCAGAAAATGCAGATGATTAGAATGACATAGACAAATATGACATGGGCCCACTGGTGTACTTTCTGCTCCACAGTTCTAGACTGGCACTTCTGTGACCACCTGTGTGGCCACTTGTGTCTGACTGCTTATGAGCCTTCTGCTTCTTGTTAATCTCCCATGGGAAGTCCTCTATTGGTAGTGGACTGGCAGGACTGCCGGACCCCTCTGGTGTGCTCTCAGGAGTTCCTTCGATGATTTCAATTCGAGGTGGGTCCATAAAGTCCATAATGCTGAAAGGTGCTGGCTCCGGTTGACACATCACTGACTTGTCCTCTGTATGATGTCTAACTGACCAGCTTGAGCCTGCTTGAATTCCTATGGACACCCTGTCGTCTGTCTGTGTGGTGTTGTCACTGCAGGGTTCCCGGCATAAAGTCCACATATTATAACACTGAGTGAAGTTGAAGAAGTTGCTGTTGAAAGTTTTTAACTCTCCACAGACATCTCTACGCAGCTCTGCTAGCTCGTAGCGCATTGCAGAGATTTCGTCCTTCCATTGCAAGTTGAAGGCAGCGACCATGTTGGCAGACTCCTTGAAAGCCTGGAGCGCTTGGGGTACTGGTGGCTCAGTGGTGGCAATGGGTGAAGCAGCAGGGACTCTATATGAAGGTGGCGTTGCTGGGGGGACGGAGATGGCTGTTACAGTTGAGCTAGTGCTATGCTGGCTTCGAGCAGCGGCAGTCTCTCTTTCAAGCCGCTCCAGCTCTGCATAGGCAGAGGAGCTAGCACCATCATCATCCTCTATCATGTCATCATTTAGCAAGGATGTGGCATCCACAAGATCATATCCCTCTGCAAGAAAGATGCGAGTATACAAATATAAGGACATTCATGGTGAAAGGAACAACTGGAACATGATTGGATTAGGATTTAAAACTAGAATGGTTACATATCTATGGAAAACTTGCAGTATGTGAGAGAAAAGGAAATTAAAATGCAACAGACTTTGATATATACATTTTCAAGTGTTTGCAAAAAGGAGGGACACCCAACAAATCATGTCTGCTACATTAATACTGACATAAATTGTAGACTCAGTAAATGTTATACATACTAGAAGAGTCAATAAAAATAAAAATAAATGTCTTGTCACTTTGCTATAGTTATTTCCAAAAAACTCACATACTGTAGGTTTTCACAATGTTTTTACACTGCCTTCTCAGTCCTCACAAGACTTCTTTCCATCTTTTCACTGCACAGCACAACAAAAAGTAAAATACATCAATCATTATCAATCAGAAATCCTTTCTTTGAGGACCCCTTTCTTTTAGCATGCCAAATATGCCCCAGCACCATGTGCCATTTTGTGCAAAAGAAAAGATGTAAAGGGAGTAGAGGAATCACAACCCACAGGGTTAAGAAGCAAATATGAACCCTATTGAACATATCAGGCCCAAAGTGGCTGATAAGACCGTGCAGAGTTGTATAAAACCCAGCAAAAGGGAGAGGTACACTCTCTGCCTCCAAGGCCCCATCAGAGCGAGGCTACAATCCCACAGTCAAAAACAGCTGACAAACTCAGTTCCAAAAGTTAGACTTTGCCAAAAATGGCCTTCAATTTTTATGGTAAGGAAAAAATAAAATGTACACATGTACAGCAGGCAGATTCTGCCCTGACAAATGGTTGGAGACAGTGGCAAGGCAATGACATTCACTGCTATTTTATGGTTTTGACATGAAAACATTCTGAAAGCTCTTTGAAATTACATTTCTGATGTGGTTACACTTAGAATATGGTCTAAAAACATTTAAATAGAGACATGATCAACAACTCACAAAAGCCAGCATCACATTCATCACTTTAAAATTCAATATTCAGTGGTACAAATGTTAAAGAAGAAACAATGTCTGAGATTTTATGAGTTGTTTGGAACTGTGTTTGCTACTTAAGATAACTTAAACTTTATGGTTCTATAATTTCTACTGAGAAGGCAGTGCAAAAACACACATATACATAGATATGTATGCATGTCAACATTAAAATACCTGAAACAATCATCCCTGATGCCTCCAGTTGTTCTTTTCCCCTGGTTATCCTTCAACATCTGGATGGTCAAATGTAGAGGGGTTTGTAGCTTGTTTGCCCTACGGAACATCATGGGATTCCTTTTCCCATTCAATGGCCCTCTAACCTCTGGGTTCAAACTAGTCCTGAATACTAGCATTGTAAAAAAAAACATGACCTGATATTTTTTTAAATAGCCTTATTTGGTGATTGCATTTTATTTCAAGACAACTGTTCTCCAAGAACTGTGCAAAAGGACACCAGTGAACAAGTTTGTAACTAATCACCAAGTAGCTATTTTTTCTGTGCTTTAATAACTTTTATTATAACCTTCCTAACGTCTAAAATACAACCTTACCCCAAATAATTTTTTTTAGCCCAGGCCTAGCTGAAGGATTTAGTGCTGATGGCTAAGTCAGTAGAGTTCAGCAAATAAGACGGTGGGATTGGAGACCATAGTCGTTCAGTCACGAAGAAATTGCATTTGGAAGCCCAATTAAGGATAAAACGATAAAAAAATAAATCATTCTCCAGATTCAACAAGAAAACAAAACCAACAAAAAGATAAGTGAAAATGTCTCCAATAATAAATTGACATCAAAATATACAACATCATTGGATATAATATTGAAAAGCAGTTCATGTAAATAGATTTTAAAAAATGTTTCAATAGGGTTCATAGCTTTACTCTTGCAGGCAAACACCAAATACATTTACTCAGGGAGGTAATGCAAAGATTCTGATTGCACAAAGATGCTGATGTACTTGAATCTTCTTACTTTACTGTGTGTATTGTGTTACATAAGACCATAACACCAATTCAAATTGTATTAAAAGAGCAACATATTGTAATTCTAGTTCATTCAAGAGTCAGTAATGAATGAAAACTATTTTGAAGTTTAGGTTCAAATCTACATTGTCATTTTTTTTAAAATCACCTTTGCATAGAATGCAGTCATTTAAAATCTGAAATAATTCCATCAACAGCATAGACATGAAACCCTGTAAGTATTTAACACTGCTGTTTGCAGTTTTATGCACCACAATACAACAGCTTACTAAGAAAAAATAGTGAATATGTTCCTTAAACATTGACAAAAAAATCAGTTCCTTTGTGCAACCAGCAAGTGTGTGCACATGTCTTCCATTCTCTAAGTCTCCTTGACTTACCTTAAATTGGTTTCTGTTTTTTAGTTATGTGTTTAATTAGAAAGTCATTTGCAAATTTTGCACTCAATAGAGCCCAGATAGGACAGTTGGAAGGCTTACCAACCACTAGAGCACATCAAATCTCAACCCCTCCCTAAGTAACTGGCACGCTTTGCCACACATAAAACACCACAGTTGAGCATGCTGAGGGTAAAGTCTACTCCTGTGGTGCATGCCAGGTGTAATGGTACTGTGCTCTGCTGTGCTGTGAAAATGCACATTGTGTTTGTTTGTCAAGATAGTACTAAGTAAATTATAAACCTCATCTTTAACTTCCAGATAGTACAGATGTGAAAAATTGGCCAATGCACAGTTCATGCAAATTAACAGAGAAGCAAATCCATCAAAAATGCTAGGAGTAAGCAGTGGCAAAAACGGACATAAACACCATAAATTTCAAAGAAAACGAAAGGACTTCAGCCTGGCATCTCTGGATCTTAAGGGTTCCCCACTGTACATATGTAGGTATGTCAGGGTTGTGCGCATGTATACGATGTATGACGATATGCAGACTAAGCCCTCTTTCATTTTGGGGGCAGGGAGTTGTTTTACCTGTTGTGGATCTGAGAGTTGAAGTGACAGTGGAGGATGTCATTGAAGGCAAGCAGTCGTCATCTTGGGAATAACCAGCCTGAATTGCACGGAGGTAACTGTGGCTTCGAGTGCGGAACGAACCAGGCAGGTCCAAGGCCTCCATGGCCTGTGATTCTACTTCACTAAAAACGGACTCGCAAACTGACTCAAACTGGCCATTGACCTCAGTCTCACTCACCTGAGAGACAAAAACAGGAATAGCAGTCCTTAATTTTTCCTCTTCCTTTCTCTTTCTCACTTTGATTCTTCCCCTTTGTACAGCAAATATGAAGGAGTGTTAGCAAAAGGAAAGGCCACTGTAAAACTCGACCTTAAACTGAATGAAAGTCAGCTCAAATGGAGACACTGCAGGTGACAACAAGAGACAAATCAGAAAAAGATACAGAAGCTGTTATAAGACATGAGATTGACTATGACATATAACTAATTATACAAAATATTAAAACGCATTCCAGTGTGAATTCATTGTCTCTCTAACTCTAGCAGGTATTTTGGAGGTAATTATGATGCACCGAGAAATTGGTTGGTGGCTGAGTTGGTTGTTTTTGACCTGATTGGCCTTAATTGGTAACTAGAAATTGGTAACTAACTGGTCAAATCCAGCAAGGGGCTAACAATTATTGTAATCCTCATCATAAAGTTATAAGTGCTTCTGTGTGAAGAAGACTCAAAATTAGCTTCATTTTTTTAAGTGAGTTATTTAAAATGAAGTGAAAGAAACGACATTACAGGTATTTCATGAGATATTTTCCATGACATGCTGCAAACAAGTATGAGAGAGTAAGAATTCTAGCAGATAACAATTTTGCTCTTTCTTGTGTTTTTAAAAGTATCCTGCTATTCACAAATCAAAGTTGCATATTTTCTAATGTATACACTGTGTATAAGTATGTTGTATTTATGGAATTTATTCCAATCTGTGCACGAGAATAATGGTATAAAAACGTAATCATCCTCTCTCTATTTTATATTTATTCCACAGAAACTTTAAATATTCATCCAAAGGAGAACTGCCTGAATGTACGCCCCTATCTTTTGACCAAAATCTCTCCTGCGGTATCCCCGTCTCCATATGGAAGCATCGGAGCTGGCTCTGTCATGCATCTTCTTACTGCAGCAACCCCCAGCACATCTCACAGTGGAGGTCCGAAATAACTCCCACAGAGGATCCAGCTGTGTGAATCCACACACGGTATTAAAGAGCGACATACCTGTAAAGGTTGGTGTGTAATGGATAGTTAGATATTAAAATTCATTGTTCAAGCTTTGATGAAAAGCTACTGATTAAAAACTCCAGTTTTTTTAAGTTTGAAATAGAGGAGTGATGAACTCAGCATCAGTAAAATATCCAATTCATTGATTTTACCCCTTTACAACACAATTTTTTGACAGGAAGTAATAAATGTTACATGAGTCTTAGTGCTATTTACTTCAGAAACAGATCCAAGAATATACTGTATGTATTTAGTAAAGAAGGTCAATTTGAAAGACGGAGATCTTTTTGACCATCAATATTTAGAATATATCCCTCTACACTTATTGGCACCCATGTCTTTAAGTAAATTAACCTTTTATCACTGTACTTTATTTTCTCAAGGACCCACATTAAGAAAATAATGTGCTCTACACAGTAAAGGATTGATGGTGACGAATATCTCTAAATTTCCAAGAATCCTCTCTTTAGGTCCCGTGACCCGGTGGTTAGGAGAGGAATTAAAGTGTTAATTTTTCCTACTGAATTACATTTTTTAAATCTTTGCCTGGGTGCCAATAAGCAAGTCAAAAGTTGTAATGATAAATGCCTTAATTGATAAACAGATTTGTAAATTAAATTTTTAAAAAAATGTGTACAAGTTTCCATAAATGATAGAATACTCATTGGTCATATATTTAGATTTTTAGACTGTGCTAAAGCAGATGTCAAATGATACAGCAAAGTTAAATGCCATGTTTTAATCACAGTCTGATTTAAAACGATGGTTGTCAAGAAAGGATGCCACATTTTTGTAAACACTTGTTTTCATGACAACTCCCTTTGTCTCAAATCTTTTATGACTTTTTTTTCTGTCTGCTTAGCTTGAGTGTCAAGTGGTAGAAAGGAGAGATGAGGATTAAAACTGAAGTAAGAAATGAGAGGTGTTTCCACAATAACTATACCAATAGTAACATTATATTAAGCTGTGAAAATGGTGAAAAACAGAAGGTAAGTTCATTTGTACATTTGAAGTTATGCATCCTTGAGATGGATGTTTAAGACTCACCTGGCTGACGCAGCTAGCTTGACTGAGGGTGCTCACGGCACGCATGTAGCTCTGGTTGCGAGAGCGAAAAGGAGGGGGATGAAAGGAGGTGGCAGGATCCAGCGTGACACTTGGGTGGGGCCGCAAATCTCTGGTTTGCAAGTGGTAACCCTGGCTGAACAAGGACAGGAGCGAGTTGGGGTGGAGAGACACAACATTTCTCAGTTTAAAAACTATTTACTAAACTGTTGCTGGAAAAAAGACATTATGTATAGACAGAATCCAGACAAAACAAAAAAGAGATCAATTTAATACCTATCTCTCAAGGTATTAAAGAGATCAATTTAAGAACTATGTTAACATCAGATTCAGCTTTAAGAGTCTAATTATACAAGAGGTACACATAAATGAGTGTAGATTCAGAACAATGACAGATTATTACATTTGTGAGCCACAGGGTCTTTTTTGTTTGCATACAACTGCAGAAGCGATCAGAACCCCACAGTGATGATGGTGAATAAAAGGGCACAGAGCACTCAGAGGCAGAGAGGACTGAGTAGTGCATGACGCCTCACAGAATTTGTCTCTATTTAAAAACTACAGTGGCTTAAAGCAAAAATTAATCGAGTTCATTTGAAAATAATGCCAGCCAAAGTCAGTAAAACAACAGGTATGAAACAAACAACTCCAGTCGCCTCACACAGGAATCCCCCAAAACTCAAAATTCATTGCTAATGTTTCACATTGTTTTTAAAAGTCAACAATTAGTCTAACTTTCTTTAAATTTTTGTTGAAGAAAGTTCAGATGACTGTAAAGAACGCTCAACTACAAAAGTGACAGCAGCGTAGAGGTTTAAGTAACTACTGCCTTTGTCTGCCAATGACAATTTCCCAGAACCCCATTTAAAAAAAGAAATCCTGTCTCTTTAATAATTATTCTAAAAGTTAAACTTAATAGTTGGGCTTTAGTTGAAAGAACAAGAAGTTCCCTCCAGTGTTGGAAAATTTGCAAATTCCTATTTGTGTGGAGGCTTTATTTACGTTCATTGGACTATTGCCTCTTCCTGCACTGTTATTACTTTTTTTTATCTTAATATCTTTGATATGTATTGTAATTGTGCAAACTAAACTAAACTGACCTAAAAGGTCAAGTGGGAGGCTCAGTGCTTAGGGAGAGTCTAAAAATGGTCAAAATATTAGATGAAAACCTGTACTTTTCAGATTTTTTCATAACAAAATAAGTGAGAATCTTGTGCCATTTCCTTTTTCTGCACAACCAGGTCCTATTTTGTTTCAGACCTCAATAAATATTTGTAATAATGGACAAATTTTACAAGGCACCATGACCTACAATTCTCTAAACCTATAACAACTTTGCCTTACTTCACCACATTTCATGAGACTGAGCTACCTCTTTCTAACGTTCTTTTATTTCATATTAGGAAGACAAACTACAACTATCTGCGGCTGCTTTCTCGCTGCGTTCTGAGGCAAAGGCTGTAGTTTTCTTCTGGACATTTGTGAAGGTTGTACTGATCAAAAAAGGCCAATTTTAGACACCACACCAATAAAAGGCAACCTTCAGCTTCTTCTGACCAACATTGATGTTAGCTTAGGCTACATTATCAATGAGACATTTTCTTTGTTCACATTAAGTCTATTCATTGAGAAGCAACAATCATCCAATTTGTGTGTGCTTATCAACTAGCGACATTGTATTTTCAAGGTATTAAATCCCACAAATGTTTCACTTGTACACCAGTATTTTAGTTGATGTCTTCCCTAGCATGGTTTACTTATTTTTATTTATAAAGCAAAATATCTGTCATTAAAAACTGAAAGCTAAATCATAGACAAAGCTTTGACAAGGACTTGCTGTGCTTGGCAGGTAGCCCTACCTTTGGGAGTCTAGATGGGGTCTCTGCATGGCTGATTTAAGGACAAGAGCATCAGGACGAATGGCTGCCTGAGGAGAAGTCTTAGGACTCGTGTCGGAGTCTCCGCTTTCATCCTCCAGCTCTCCCATAGCTTTGACGTAGCTACTGCTCCGCATGCGGCGACACGGAATCTCCTCATCTTTGTCACCGGGGTAGCCGCTCCACTCATCTTGGGGTACCTGCAGGACACAATACATCTTAACGTAAAACACTGTCATGCTTAGTCCAGTGTTTGTGAAGAAATGTCAGACGGATGCTCCCTTTTCTCTGAATGCAAAATTTAAGCCTTATTTTAGTTTGAGTGCCAAAATTATTAGCATGTACAATGGTGCCCAATGAGGCAAATGAGTATGAGATGTTTATGAGGCAAGCTGTTGCATCAGATCTGCTTGTTTGTGCCTCCAACAGGAAAATTAGGCTCAATAACTGTTTTATTGACCTCTGAGCTTTGCCTCCTAAAATAAACAATATCATTATTAAACCTCTCTCTTCCATTAGGATAAGATAGAGACAGCCAACATCGATAAATATTCTGATTCATTCTTAAAAACATTGAAATAGGCACATTGTGTTTTGTGCTGACACACTATCCTGCATCTCAGACTTTCTTTGGTCAAAATACAAAAGCATGAAATTGAAATGCTCCATGTTTTCATACAAGTCCTGCATTTTAAGAGCTGAAGTTCTTTGCAGTAATTTTCAGGGACAGAGTGAATATTTGGAACTTGATTATGCTATTTTTTAAATGATAAACCTCTGAGTTGAGCACAGCTTTTCATAGCATCATTTATTATTATTGCAAAAGATATATTAGCAGCCATTTCTGGTGGACAATCCTTTACTGCTTTATGATGCAACATCCACCTTGGAGGCAAGAGTAAATAACAGCAGTACATTTCATAAACTAGCAGTCTTTGAATCAGTCAATGAGTTGATCCATCAAGTTCATTTATTTAGTGCATTTCAACAGCATGACGGTTCAGGTTGCTTTACATAATAAAAACACAAAGTTATAAAGAAAACAATAGACAGTCAATAATTAAACGGACATGTTTTGATGAGTGCATCGCCATTAAAATATGTTCGTCAGTGTTTTATTTACCAACCTAAATTAATCTAATTCTGGTTTCAGGAGGATTATTTGGGCTAATCATCAAAATAAATAGGTCATACTGACATTTCTTTTTTTATTTTTTTATTCTGGTACCCAGGTTGGCACTCTGAGTGTCCAGCACAGAAGTAATGAATCCAGGTAGGTCTGCAGAGACAAGTAGAGGAATAAAGTTGCCTCCTCCTGCAAAATCATTCAGATCAGTATAAATGAATTACAGACCACCCATCCATCAGCTGATATGCTAATTGACCAGAAATGGCATTTATATATTTTCATGTAAGATCTGCTGAATAAACATCAATACTTATTATTGGAACTTTGAACCTGAGTGTTTAGAACATGAGCTAAGATGAATTGATTTTGTTTTAACCTGCATAAAATAGACTAAGAATTTTTTTATTTTTAAGGGTGAATATCAGTGCCAGCAGAGTAAAAAGTTAGAGGAAAATAATCTTGACTTTTTCATTCTGTGTTACAATAATTCTAGTGTGATTTGTGGTCTGGAAGGGACAAAAATAAGCCAGATGGATTTCTTGTTCCAAATAGAATTGTTGGGAGAAGAAATCCCTGTATTTTCAGCAAATCTGAGTGATTCAAACAAAGCTATATACAAACCAAGACAGCTTCAAACAAAGTGCATGGGCTGAGATACTTCATAATTCTGAAACTCAAAGTAATTTAAGACAATGAAACATGCACTCTCCAGCAAAATGAAGTTCAGAAATCTTTTCTGTATTACGTTCAGTATCACCATGGAAGTCATTTATTGTACGGTAAATGACAAAAGACTGATATATTTTTTCCTGATTTAGCAGTCTGACATAATGTCCCTCTTTCTTTCCTCACCAAGTAAAGCAATGACAAAAGGGGAAACTAAATAAATTAAAATTACTTTATTTTATCCAGGAAATGTCAATTAGTTTTTATTAATTACCTTGGAGGGCTTTATGGAATCACAGAACTGGAGAACATTCTGATGATAAACCTGTAGCTATCATTCTGATAGCTACAGAATGTTCTCCATTCAAATAAATGTGCCCATAGCTGTACAACATCTGGGAAAAACTGTTTTAAACCATTTTAAACAGGGTTTCTATTCTTATTTTGTCCTATCTTTTTAACAGCAGAAACTCATTCTGTTTCCATTACTATCTTCCTGTGCTGTTATTGTAAGACGATAAATCATGTTGTATCAGCTCCTTGCATCTCTTTGGTACAACTTTGCTCAGTGTGTATTACTTTTAAAAATGTATGCAGCAAAGCTGACATTATGACTTTTATGTTGCAATATTTAGTCATTTTGGAGGGTATGACTCTTGGAAAATATGTGGTCTTCTATGCAAAGCTGAGGCTTGCATTACTGAGCTCCAGAATGAATAAGTGATATTACACACATAGCGTTCTTAGATTTACAATGAACTCAGGAATTTGTGATACAACATTCCTGCTATATAAGGTATTTCCGCTGCCATGTTTCTTCACTGAGTCATGTTGAAAAGTGTTTTTTTTAGTATTTGCATGTTTTTTTGAACTGAATAAAACTACAGTCAATAAAGGTTTCCTGTTCTTGATGCATGCTGGATTAGTAAGCCCTGTCAAAACACTGCACATATACCCTGTTGCTGACGCAAAAAAGAAAAAAGTGTTTCTTGGTATTCGAAATGCAGATTTGTACTCACTAATAGATTTTATTTAGTGGCATCAGGGACAGAAGCTGGAGATACTTTTGAGATTCTACTCTGTAAAAAAACTAAAACCATATGCAGTTTTTCTTATAATTTACTGGATTGTGTTGGAAGAAATTCTAAAATGCTAGTATAATATATTGAGATTTGTAGCTATAAAATTTTAGAAAACATCAAAATTCAAGGGCTCTGAATACATTTGTAGGCAAGGTATGAATAGCAGCAGCTTGTGTGACCAAAACACAGAAGCTTGTTTTGGTCGCAAGTTAGAACTGTTACTAATTCTTGCAAGTACTGAGTCAACAAGTCCATTTTTTCTGCTCGCTTCACTTCCAGCACCCACAAAAAATATCTTAGTGCTCATCTTTGCTGGGCCAGTGTAAGGTCTCCTTTTAATTATGATTTTAGGACAAATTAATTTATAAATGAGTTACTTTCACTTTTTCTCTGCTCAATTCAAAAGAAAACAGTAAAATCAATAATTAAAAGTAAACTAAAACAGGGTTGTAGTATTTTGATTGAGGTGTTTTCACAGTGGTCTCAGATTTAATTCAGGTTACATTAAAATCGGGACTTTTTTTAACAGTTCTGAAATTAAAATAAAATATAAAGTGTCAGGAGGGAATTCACTTGTGTCATATCAGAGAGAAGCATTTTTTGGGGGGGGGGCCTGTAAAGATCAGCTCACAGTGCAGACTCTCCTCTGCTCTTCCAGTCACTCACTTCATCCACTTACATGAGTTGGCTGTGTCTCTGCCACAACTGCTGAACTATTGGCAGAGAAAGCACACGAGCTGATTGCTCCTTTTGGCTCTGGCATCGAGGAGTCTGTCGCCATCCCTCTCATTCTATTCTGCTCATGTCCAAAATCAGCTCCTGTCAAAATTTGACCTCTCCCTGTCCTATTTATTGAATTTAATGACGGAACAGAAATATAAAGAACTAGATATCACAGGATGTTTCAAAATGTGAAAAAAAAAACTTAAATCATTATGCATAACATCTTTTTGTTAGATTTATCCTTTCCCACATGAGTGGAAGAACATCCATCCATAATGTGCTAAATACATTTATAAGCCTTAATGACAGCAGCAGAAAAAGAATAATTTTCATCTTAATGTGCAGCCATTGATCATCTGAGACTGTATTTAACAAGCCAGCAATCAGTTATTGAGGCTGTGCACCATCTCATTAGCACAATTGTATGAGCTCATATGATGCTATACCTGAAAAGATGTGCTGAGCCTCTGAGGCTACTAGACAGACAAGCTGCTTTACAGGTTTATTAGTTAATATAACACCAAAGAGAGTTTGTGTTAAAATATTTAAAAATGTAAGAGACACAAAAATATTAATACATTTCAGATTCTTTTTTAATACAGATTCTTTTTCCCCCTACCAATGTAAACAGTTTGTACATTTCAACATGACAGCCTGTAAAAAGAACATGTGTTCTTAACTCAGTTTTAAGTTACTGTCCACAAGTTATCTTTTTTTTTAGTTGTTTTTTTTTCCTCAGGTGACAGTTAATTTCCTATCTTTGTAACATTAAGTTTTTCAAATTTTTAAAATTTCTTCTTGCGTGCCTTACTCACACTCTTATGAGCTTCAGTGATTGTTTGCTACAAACCGAGGTGTATGCTCCTCCAAGGGTGGTCAAAAAGATTACGAAGGATGCTTGATGTTTTTCACAGCGAGGAAGTGTATCAAACACAGCCATTATACACACTAAAGTGTTTGTCTGTTCTTATAGAATCACAGGACAAGAGAGGGCATCATGTTTACTGTCACTCATGTATTTTTAGACTGAAAAATACATTAACTCCTACAAATAAAATCCACAAGCAAAATGCCAAATTACTGAATTAATCAAGAGCAAATGTATTGTGTTTGCTGACACTTTGCAGATTTATATTCTAGTTTGTGAACTATCAATATGAATTAAGTTTAAAGAATATGTTACCAAACTGGTGGGCTAAAAGCTTCTGGAAGAAAATAATACATACTACCAACCTTCAATCATTCAGAGAAAAAAAATGCTAAAAAAACAACTCAGAAATTTAAAAACTATTAAAGCTGATTAGCTAACATCTTTTGCTACCACCACTGTACAAACCTTCCCTTTCATTTCACCACTAAATAAGCTTTGTGAACATTCTTAGAACAGCTTGTGCCCATGTGCTACGTGCAGCCTCTTCATTTGCCCAGCACTGAGACCTGCCAAAACATGCAAGACTCCATATAGCACAGAAAAAAATGCCATTTTTTACTTCTTTGTCTGACTGTGAATCTCAAGGCATCACTGGGAAAACAATATTTCTGTAATCTTGCCATGGACAGACATGGGTCCAGAGAGAACATCCTATCACTGCTCAAATGGACTGTCATGTGTAAGCACAAAACAATAATCTTTACATGATGGAATGTTTTTAGCCATAATTCAGTAAAATTAGGCTATAGTATAAGTGGTTGATTTGGGTGTGAGGGGACTGAATGGCAATATAAACAATATCATTTTAAGGACATCTTTAGGATTTTTTAAAAAACGTTTTCTATGCATTTATAGAGTATTATTGTTTGCTTGGTAATCAGATTACCCTATAAATCTTACTTAAAATGATTTACTGTTGAGCATTTTGCTTCCTTCCTAATTTGGTTCACAAATTACTTTTTTTATGAGAACAGTTACTTTGATTCATTCCCTTTTCTTCAGATGATGTACAAAATAGTATTTCTGCAGGAATACTCTTGCCATATATGCTGTAGAACAATTAATTTCGAGTTTTAATTGAAACAGCCTTAGAACCTGGTAAACCAATAGTGTTCATGAGTTATTAAGTTTAATGAAGAATTAAACTGGAATTTACCAAAAGTCAAATGATGACAAAACATAATCAATGTATCCTTTCTAAACATACACACCAACATAAAGTCCATAACAGCTCCAATATACATATCACCATCCGAAAATAATTGTTTGTGTGATTTTTTTTAAATTATTATTTTTGTTTTAGGAAGGTGACAATATTATAAAAGCAATTTTATCAAGTAAAAGCCCACTTACCTGAAGGTAGTGACATGCTCGTGAAGACGTTTTGAGGTCGGTGTGCATCATGGGTTTGTCCAAATTAAGCGATGACTTTCTATAGGCCTCCTTGGCTTGGCTGACCGTTAGTGTCGACCAGGAGCTCCTCTTCATGAATTTGCCCTCAGGTGCCATGGCCAAGCTTTCACAGGCTGAGCACTTGACATCATTGTTACTCTTGGAGCCCTTGAGCGACATTTCTCCAAAGTGGTGGCTGTGCATGGATTCTGGGTAGCAGTGGCTGACATGTTCCCCGTGGTGTCTCGACATTACACTCGGTGTGCGATAGGTGCTGTCACTGTCCAAGTTGTCATCAGAGCTCCACCAACCTCCAGAGCGGTGCTTGCGTTCTTTACTTTTGCTCCTCTTGCTGCCATGTTTGGTGGAGTGGTGGCCAGGATGGTAATAAGACCCTCCTCCTCCTACATCACCTTTTGTGCCATTCATCTTGGATGACCCCTCTAACGAGTGGGACTTGGTGAAGAGTTTCTGAACAGAATGAACGAGGTGTCTGATGCGGCCGGGACTCTCGCTCCGTTGCTCCGTGGTTGTGGACGTGCGCTGGTACTGTAGCGTGTGGAAGCCATCGCGGTGAAGTGGCAGTTGTTTCTCAAACTGGTCTAGCAGGTTAGCTGGAAGGCGATTGCTTTTAGTGCCGGCGTGGTGGGAGGAGGCAGCAGCTGCGGCTGCTGCAGCAGTGACAGCCGGAGAGGTGGCGGAGGCCGTGATGGCAGCGCAGTCTTCCCGGGTGGCTGAGTCGTAATATTGAGAGCTGTAATGCATTCTGGGGAAGGTGCTGCTGGAGATGTGGTCTGATGCGGCAGGTGGGGGCATCATGACGGGGGACATCATCATGCAGTCAGAGTGGATGGAGCTTCGGGGCGAGAACCGGTGGTGGAAGTCCACGGGGCAGCTCTCTGTGGGACTGAGCAGGTATGACGGGTGGCGGGAGTCAGAGCCATGGTGGCCATGGAAATCGTGAATGTGGGGATCGTAGTCCAAACCATGAGGTAAAGGGATATGATGCTGGGAACGACTGCCCGATAAGCCCTTCATGTTCCTGGCAGGAGGGAGACGTCTGCCTTCATTTACCTTCCGAGGTGGGGACCAAGATGTAAACCTCTGGTCTGGTGCAGAGAAGAAGAAATAAGGAGAAGAAAACATTAAAATCATTGAGTTAAAGGAATCAGGGAATGTCTTTTTTATCTCAGTTTTGGCAATGCTTCAAAAATTTTAATACTACTGTGATTCTTTACTCTCATCCGTTAAGTATCCAGCATATTAAAATAATTACATTTTGCTTCTTTATAAACACTTGAGAGGATATTGACTTCAAATTAAAAAAAATATTAGCATGAATAATACTTCCCAAGGCCTATACTGGCGAAGAATTATATTAGACACAGTTGAGTTCAATGAAAACTTTTCTCTCTGTCAATACAATAATGTCCAATAACTGACTCTGAAAAGTTTTATTTGAAACGTTCACATGGAAGGTTTTCTGTAGGTAATTTATTGAGTGCTGTAATGAAAGGAAATTGGAAAGTCAAGAGATTTGAATAAATTCCAAGTAACAAAGAGACACAAGAACAATGCAAGTAAAAAATAGAGCAGGGATTATTAAATCGTTTTCTTTGTGACTCAGATACGAAGAGCCTCGTCCTTTGTTGTCTATTTGCAAGGCTACTACTCTGTCACTATACTACGCTGTAGACACACTGAGGTTTGGTACTTGCTTACCTCATGTCTAATACAGAATGCTTAAGTTGTGTATTTTTAATTTTTTTGAGTAAAATGTCTCCAGATGATGGTGGAAATGTGATGGTTGGGCCTGATTTGCTGCTTCAGGAGTTGGACAATTCAACATATTTGTGTTGAGGGATGGATGAATTTTTCTACCTACCAAAAAATGTTGAACAACACTGAGTTCAAGGTGACTAATGTTTTGAAACAGGACAATGATCCAAAGTATAACAGTAAGAAAACCCCAAATTGCCCAGAAAAAGTCACTGTCATGTTAATATGGGAACACATGTAAAAGCATAAGTTAACCATAAAATTGAGCTAGAAAATTAGATTTAGAAATGTATATCCTCTTAAATTTACATTTAAAAATTCTTTGGTAAACCTAATGGTGCCAAAGTTACAAACACAATATTTAAGAAACTAAGGGAAAACAAAACAAGAAAGGAAATAACATGAAAACTGTTTTTATTGAGTGTTGGTTTTCAAATAAGTCACAGATTCATGCCATGTAATTTTCTGTTTGAGTAGGTTTCCAATACAGTCTTGTAATCTGTTGTTTCCTATGAATGAAAGTATGGGCGTGTGTGTGTATGAGTATATCTGTGTGTATATAGATACACCAGGAAGCCGCCTTTAGTTGTGAATTTGAAGAGTGGAAACCTTTATAAATTTTAAAAAGTGCAAAAACATATTCACCTTAGTTAAGGGTGGGTATCGCACTGCAATAATAAGAATGACTTGCTATATTTTTACACATCTTTATCAATAATGCCCAGAACTGTCGTCATAGCTCAGTCACCTCAAGGGGGTTCAATAAATCAGACATTTAGGAAATAAAAGCCCTTGTAAGAAAAGATAGGGTATAATAAAAGTATTATGCAAATGAAAAAAGACAGACTAAAATGATCTCTCACTTGATTATTTCAAGCAACATTGAGTTGACAATTGAATTTGGACTTCAGCACCCAACTAACATTTTCAGGCCAAGTTAAATTTGTCCAGGTGTTTTTGTCACCTTATTTTCACAATTTTTCCTCTTCTCTTTCCTTATTGCTCATCCTAATCTTCACTTGTGGGATTTGGTGTCTTATTGCAGCCTAAGCTCAATCAAATGCTTCCAGATGAAGTATTTTTAGTTTGTTTTTCTTGCATCATTAGCATAAAAAGCTAAATGTTCTGCCATTTGGCATGATGAGAAATATTTTAACTTTCCAAACAAGATTGTGAACATTTAAGTTGAAAAGGAGGTTTAAATAGTTCAACTTCCGCCATCTGTGTCTGATCTCATTAAGGTTTATTTATTTCTTTTAATCTGTTTATTATAAAGATTTCCTGTTTATGTTGTTTCAAACTTTCAATGCAAACGTCTAGATCTTTACCTTTTCATCTCTGAACCATTAAGATATGAGTCAACTCTAATCGAGGAGTATGTCCAACTCGCTTCTGTGAACAATAGAACTTGTGCCTACAGCTTCCGGCACAGAAACGTAGTCTGATTCATAAAATGGAAAGATGTGATCAAAGCTCTTAAGTACACACTGGAGCACCTGAAGTGTGCGCCATTCCCCCGTAATTAATTAAGTTCGCTGCAGCAGGAAACCCCAGCCTGAAACAGGGCACTTCATCTTACATAACGTTTGGGATCTCTAAATCTTGCACAGTATTTCAAAGGAGCCAAAAATAAAAAACACAGTTGCCATAGCAACCACCGCTAAAACCCAGGAATTGTGGCTGGATTTTCAAGGCTGTGTGGGGTTTGGTAGATCTCAGTATCAGAAGTGTACAGGAGACACAAATAGCATGCAGTGTGGTGCAGATTCTTTATTCTTGAAGTCATGACTCGAGTTGGAGAACGGACTACGTTTGAATAGGTTCAGGGAAGTAACTGTTATCAGGTTAATGCACAAACTTTAATTATTAGCAGCAGCTACAAGCCGTGAACTAAATGTAAAACTGACATCTTTTGTATCGTGCCTTTTTAGAAGTTAATTCACTCAAAGAAAATGTATGTAAAAATGTGGAATATATATATATATATATATATATAGAGAGAGAGAGAGAGAGAGAGAGAGAGAGAGAGAGAGAGATAGATATATATATCCATAGATATATATATATAACCAAAATAAATTTAAATAACCTAAAGCAAGCTGGAGTCCAGATCAGCAAAGGGTGGCTAGAGTAGGTACGGGTCCTGCCATTTTAAGAAAAGCAGTAATTGTTAGCAATTAAGTCATAACTAATAACTGTGGCCATGTGACCTTGGTTAAAATTTAGGTAGAGTGACTCCAACCCTTGTGGCAACATGTAACTGTTATAAATATTTAAAATGATGTCACTTATAGTGACTTTTATATTTACAACTTATCTGCTTCTGTCAAACTTAAAATTGGGTAATGAATCTAAATCCCACAGTTGTGATTTTTAATTTATATTAATATAAGAAATGACAATAAAAGTCATTTATTAACAAAATGACTGTAACAGTAACTCTCGTTTATTAACTCAGTCATGAACAATTATTGAATTAAATATAGCACTGCATCTGAATGCATGCTTTACTGTTCATCACCTGTTTATTTGTCAGAACCAAGCAAAGCCAGTAATAGTGCCTCTGCATTCTATCAAGAATGTCATAACATCTGATTTAGTGAGTCAAAAGTCACACAATATCTGTTTCCACCCTCAGGAAAAATCATCCGCCTTTCTTTATGATATCACCACAGGATTCTGATTACAGAAATTATCTTTAGGCGCATTGATTTCTTCATAATTAGTTGTTTAGAGACTAACCTTTCAACTTAGAGTATTTTTTTAATATCAATTAAATCAAACTGAGCAAAGTCTATTCACCTTTTTCCTTTGGGGAGAGAAAATTATGAAGGGGAGAAAAACTGAAGGCAATAAATACTTTTATATATCAGTCAGTCATTCAAAAGTGGTATACATAAAACTATTGTTAATATCATGCAATCTGTTTTAATCACTGGTGCTGCTTGGGTGCACACGATACATCCTCCTGCTGCCAAATCTACCTTAATTATGTATTATATGCATATTAATGATTTTGAATTTGGTACAGTTGCAACTAGAGCAACAATTTATCATAAGTACACATAAATTATGATCCCAAAATCAAATTAAAGGCATATAAATACAATATGTTCACTGTCTGAAAATACAATAATTTATTTTAGCGCTTCTCAAAACCAGTAAAGCAGACTGCGTGCCATAAATATATGTGACAAGTTAAGTATTCATATAACAACTTGCTTTTAGTTTAACACACTGAATTGGTCCCCAAAGTGCTCAGCGTCAGCCGATTTGTGGTAAGCATCAACATGCACTAGCACACAGTGACCAACTCATCAGTCTCAGTGAGGGAGGTTATGTCAAGTTAAAGAAACCCAGCAGACTTTTTTTTTTCCAGAAAAAAAAAAAATTGCTGTGTCACATGGCTGACTCTGGATCGCCTTCAGGGAGCAGCAAGGAAGAGGAAGCTTAGCTCAACTCTGTCTTGGTCAATACCTCCCACTCTCCCAGCAATGCAGTGATACAGTTTTATTGCACATTTAGCCTCCAGCTCAACTGCCTGAGAGATAGTTTCAACATTTTATTTGAACAAATGTCATGTCTCTAAAAATCACTTTACGCCAACACAGAAATGTTATATTGTGCGCTAAAAAGAATTGTCAGTATATTAAGACATTTATAACTACACTTTATATATACATATACAACACCTATTATATATTGAAATAATTTTTTATGTGAATATATGACATGAGGTACCAATGAGTTAAGGACCTCTTTATCAAATGCATGCTATCTTGAGTGTTAATCTGGCTACTCAGGGTGATTTAAGCAGTTTATACTCCACTCTCCACAAATGATTTACATAAACAATGGTGCTTCAAAAAGCCACTGTTTATTTTGTTAATTCTTGAGGAGAACATTACCTTCCAAACATCCTCATGAATACGTTAGGCTGCGTAACATCTTGTACTAAATGTCCACAAGACATTAATGAGCACTTTCCAGTTTCCACAGCTTACGCAACAGCTATTGTGCTCGATGAGTAACAGGACATTTCCTTAATGTGCTCCAGTCAGCACCTGAGCCAGTGTGTAATTTTTCTCATGTGAAAAAAGATGACAGTGAAGAGAGAGAAATTAGAATCGGTTTGTGGAAGGAGAAAAAAAAATTGAGGGGAAACCCCCTCTATTTCCTTTGCTCCCTGGGAAAGCATTGTGCTAAGTTAAAGCTTTGCTGCAGTCAGCGCATGACCAGAACACCACTTTATCTCCAAGATGCTTGCATAACTTGAAATAAACTTGCCCTCCCTCCTCCACAGTAACACACAGCGAGCTAATTCCACAGC